CTGTTATACTTTCCTGTCATTTATTTCCTTTGTGTATATTAAATGTACCATGGTGTTTTGTACAGGCATGTACTATATTTTGATCAGAATAACCCCCTCTACTGCTTTCTCTTTCCCTGTTCCCTCCATCCCCTGAATGGTTAATGTATTTCGGTGAGAGCCCTAATGTCGTCTGTATACACTGACACATGTATACCCACCTTAAACATGTCTGGAAGCCCAGCGAGCCAGCAGGGGCCAGCACACAGCTGCAATGCGTGAAAACCAATACTCCCAGGCTAAAACTCTCCCAACTACTGAAGCAGCCAATTGGGGACAAAATAAAAGGCCTGCTTTATATCATTAAGCTTGACGCTAACTTATTATGTAGCAATAGTAATTAGGACATTTTTGCTTGGGTAATTGATTTCAATCTCAAAGAAATAGTGGTAGAAAACTGTAACCCCTCTGTACATCACCTTGACAATAAAATTCTAAAAAAAGAAAAAGAAATGGTGATAGGAGGAGGAAGACCAGGAGGAAGGAGTACACTGCGAGGTTTGCAAGTACACAAAGTCCTCGTGTGTAGATGGAGAATGTGAGGATTGCCAGGGATTGCCAAGGGTTGTAAAAAAAAATCAGTGGGAAGGCTGGGAATGTGGCTCAGTGGTAGAATGTTTGCCTAGCATGCATGATGCCCTGGGTTCGATTTCTCAGTACCACATAAACAGAAAAAGTTGGAAGTGGTGTTGTGGCTCAAGGGGTAGAATGTTAGCCTTGAGCAAAAGAAGCTTAGGGACAGTGCCCAGGTCCTAAGTTCAAGTCCCAGGTCTGGCAAAAAAAAAAAAAAAATCATTGAGAGAGCCAGCATCCAGGTGTTACTTAGCCAGGTGCAGGTGGCTTGGGCCTGTAAACCTAACTACTCAGGAAGATCATAGTTTGAAGTCATCCCAGGTAGGAAAGTCTGTAAGACACCTATTTCTAATAAACCACACACACAAAAAAAAGCTGGAAGTGGGGCTGTGGTTCAAATAGTGGAGTGTTAGTTTTGAGCAAAAAAGATCAGGACAGTGTCTGGGCCCTGAGTTCAAGCAGGAGGAGGAGGAGGAAAGGAAAGAAGGAAAAGAAAGAAAAGAAAAATCACTAACAAGGAAAGGAAGAGGTAGAAAAGGCTACTGGTGACCAAAAGAAAAGTCAGTTTTTCTTTGTGGTTGAGTGCCGGCCTGCAGGGCTCCCTCACCAAGCAGCCTGGGCTTCCACACGGGGGCCTGGGGCCTGCTTCGCCCGGGAGCGGCAGGGTGGAGTGGGGGAGGAAGCACGCGGCCCGCATCGCAGGGATGCACTGTGGAGGCCTCCTTGGCCCGGGTCTCCCCCACACGCCGCGGGGGTAATGGCAGCCGCCCCAAGCTGCTGCAGCCAGTCTCCTCCGCGGCCGCAGGCAGCGAGTGCCGGGTGCGCACTGGACAGCCACCCAGGCTCGGGCGCAGTGGTGCCGCTCTGCTGCTCCCAGGGCCCGGGCTGGCGGGGTGGGCGGTGGGGTCCCCCTGCGGGTGAAGTCGATTGCAGGGAAGTTCAGCAGGGCTGTGGCCCCGGTGGGGTCTGCTGCCGCCGGGAGCTCCTGGGCCTGGCGCCTCTAGCTGGGCTCTGCGGTGGCGCAGGGCGCGCAGGTCCTCCCGGTGGGCCGGGCCGCGTGCGGGGGCTCCGTCCCGCCGGCTCGGTCTGTCTGGGCAGAGGCCCACAGGTGCCAGTTTCTCCCTGATTCCGCCAGGCGCGGTGATCTGCCTGGAGCGGCTCTGTGGTCTTCTTCTGTCCTCTTCTTGTTTTGCCGGTCATGGGGCTTGAACTCTGGGCCTGGGCGCTGTCCTCAGCTCTTCAGCTCAAGGCCAGCGCTCTACCACAGCGCCACCTCCGGTTTTCTGGCGGTTCATTGGAGAGAAGAGTCTCTCGGTCTTTCCTGCCGGGGCTGGCTTTGATCTCCCGCTCCTGAGTAGCTAGGATGACAGGCGTGAGCCAGGCCTGGCCAGGCCTTTTCTTTTCTTCTTGCTTTTAGAGATGTAAGGTTCTGTAATTTTGATCTTTCCTAGTCTCTGTCTACGCTTTTTCTGATGTTCTCACTTAGGCGCGCCTCTCGGGAAGCTTTGTGATGGCAGTCGGTCCGTGGGGACACCGTGAAGGGTACTGTGAGCAACCTTCCATGTTTCCCCTGTCTATTACACCGAGGTTTAAGAGTTTCAATATAGATTATATTATCATATATAAATATATAATATTGAATATAAATGTTAATATATTATAATAATACAATATGTACTATATTTCATGTACTAGATTAGAACTTTTTTTTTTGTCAGTCGTGGGGCCTGAACTCTGGGCCTGGGCGCTGTCCCTCAGCTCTTCAGCTCAAGGCTAGTACTCTACCACTTGAGCCACAGCGCCACTTCCGGCTTTTTCTGCTATGTAGTGCTGAGGAATCGAACCCAGGGCCTAATGCATGCAAGGCAAGTGCTCTACCACTGAGCCACCTCCTCAGCCTATTAGAACATATATTAACCATATTAATATATAATATGCTATGTAAGACAATATATATTTATAATATAGAATTTATATTATACACAATTACAATATATTATACATTGCATATTATATATGTAACATAACTAATATATAGCTAACATATTAATACTACATATGCTATAATTAATATATTTATATAATATGTGGTATTAACATATATATACCATATATATGATATATCACATATGATGTTATATATATATATATATATATATATATATATATTTTTTTTTTCCCCCCTGGTTGTAAGTTCTTCGCTTTGCAAAGACTGTGAGAATGTACTGGCAGAAGCCAAGAAAATATAGAAGGAATTAGATTTTGAGAGAATTTAATCATGGAGACCAGAACATAAAATTGGATAAGGCAGAATTTGGTAATGGAAAAACTAAACTTATTAGGATCCTGGAGAATTCCTACATTCCATATTCCATATCTATTCAGTAGTAGGATGTTCTCCAAAACATGAGAGTACCAGCAAAGAGGATGATAGGGTGCCACAACTAAGACCTGATAATGCCTTCATCTATTTGCGATAGGGAGCATGTTGATAGTCTATTATGAGGGTATATTATAGAGAGTGCTGAGAGCTAGGGAAGAATGGTCTAGGAGTCCATTTCCCACTCACCTTTGCCCAGATGTGGAGACTTGTTGAGCTTCTTCATCACTGAATGGAGAGTCTTCACTCCCAACACAATTCCATCTTTTCATCTCTGTATATTTTATTGTGATGATAGGGCTCAACTTTGATTTTTATTTTGAATGCTCCCCTTCCTTCCTCCCTCCCTCCCTCCTTTTCCATCCTTCCTTGCTTCCTTCCTTCCTTCCTTCCTTCCCTCCTCTCTCATTCTTTCTTTTGTGCTAGTCCTGGGGCTTGGACTCAGAGCCTAGGCTCTATCTTAGATCTTTTTTGCTCAAGGCCAGTGTTCTACTGCTTGAGCCCCAGCTCCACTTCTGGATTTTTGATGGCTAATTGGAGATGAAAGTTTCATAGACTTTCCTGTCTGGACTGGTTTGAACCATGATCAGATCTCAGCTTCCTGAGGAGATAGGATTAGAGGCATGAGCCACTTTATGCTGGGTTTTGAATGCTCTTTTGGTTTTGCTTTGCTGCCAGCTTTGGTTTAACCTTGGTTTTGAGAAAACTCTCAACTCCACTTCCCACTTCTCTTCATAACCTCTGCCAGTTATATTCTTTGTTGTTAAGGTAACAATTCAGTTAATTACTTCCAAAATGATTGCTTTTTTTTTTTGTCGATTGTGGGGATTGACTTCTGGGCCTGGGCACTGTCCCTGAGCTCTTCAGCTCAAGGCTCAAGGCAGGCCCTCTACCATCTGAACCACAGCACCACTTCTGGCTTTCCGGTAGTTAATTGGAGAGTCTTATGGATTTTTCCTGCCTGGGCTGGCTTTGAACTGTGGTCCTCAGATCTCAGCCTCTTGAATAGCTAGGATTACATGCATGAGCCACCAGCACCTGGCAAAATGATTGACTTTTATGAAAGACAACTTACAACTCCCCTTGGAAAGATTTTCATTTGGTCCCTATGGGATATTTGGGATCCCATTAAACGTGTTTAGCTACTAGGTACTTGCAAATCTTGGAGGTCTTAGATCTCTTCCCATCCACAAGAAGCTCATTTGCTTGGTAAGAGAAAGCTGTAACATAAGAAAATGTGTCTGATCTTGGACAATCTCTTAAGGACTCTCTATTTTCCCATCAGTCCACAACCTTGGCTCCTCTTTACCCTCTTTTCTCTGTTTTGTTCTAAATATACACATCATCTTCCAGCTCCTTGGAAGCAGGTGTGCTGAGAACACACCGAGATATAGCTTCTGGAATTCGACATAGTTGCATGTAGGTTTGTTACCATGCATAGTGTTCTACCAACACCCCCTGATGGCGTCACACTCCCCTCTTTTTGGATGCTGTAGTCTGGTTTTGGAGTTGCCTTCAGAAACCCAAAGAGCTTCTTTATTTCCCATGAAGCTTTGGATGCACATCCACTGATGAGTATCCTTCAGTGTTTGACTCTGCTGACCAAAATTCACCTTCCTCTTTCTTTTTTTTTTGTCAGTCGTGGGCCTGAACTCTGGGCCTGGGCGCTGTCCCTCAGCTCTTCAGCTCAAGGCTAGTGCTCTACCACTGGAGGCACAGTGCCACTCCTGGCTTTTTCTGCTTATGTGGTGCTGAGGAATCGAACCCAGGGCCTCGTGCATGCATAGCAAGCACTCTACCACTGAGCCACCTTTCCAGCCCTCACCTTCCTCTTTCTTACCCAGAAACAAGGTTCTAGGCTTTGGGGCCCACAAAATAAGCTACAGGCAGTTACAAGTTGCAAACAAAAAACAAAAATAAACAAAAAAAAAAAACCAGAAAAATGCATTCTACACAGAGTTGGTTAGTATTTTATATTTTTCCAAAGAAATCTTCAGGATAATTTCTATAAGTGCTGAAATAAATTTCTTATGTATTCAAAATAAGAGAATGGAATTGTAAACTTATTGGCAGATAATACTTTGAATTATAATAGTAATTCTGTAGTATTTTTATCTGGTTTTGTTTTGTAAACTTAACACTTAAGCATGTTGTTCTGGGATTTGTCTGATGAAATGAGATGTAGGATGTTGTTTAGTTTATGCTATGAGACACTGCTATTTGATATGTTCACTTTGTTTCCTTGAATCCATTTTCGAATTGCTGCCCCTGGGTGGATGTTACGCAGCTGGAACATAAATACTGTAAAAATCAACGCCCCCATCACTACGGCCGTTGCCACGGCAATAAGCGTATGTCCTGGAAATGGCAATGGCGCGTCATCAACGTAAATCTGCAACAAAACAAAAGAAAGTCATTAAGCTTTCTGAGTCTAATGTGAAACAGTGGACAGTGAATGATACCCCCATGCCCAGCAATGCTCTGCTCAGAGTAATGCAGACATTCAGCAGTCTCACCCATCACAACATCATTCTCCACATTCCCCGTCTGGCCCCAACTCTTGTCTAGCACAAGAGTCATCATTGTCCTTCGTCTCTGTTGGATTGATACTAGTCATGTCATTTCCCAGCCCTCACCCTCTCTTGGATAGCTCGTGCGTTCATAGTACCTGAAATTCTTCCAATAAGTTACAAAAAGTGACCCCTGGAACAACAGACACTCTAAAGTGAAACAGCTCAGAACCCTGGGGGAGAAAACACACCATGTCACAGCAGCAATATGCACCTTTAAGTAAAACCAGACATTGTCCCACATTCCTATGGATGCTTCATAGAAAGATTCCATTCTATTTTTAAGACTTTTGCACATATCTATTTTATATCAAAATGAAAAAGGGATTGCTACCCAGGAATTCACTAACTGATACTTTTTATAGAATTAAAAAAAACTCCCACAAAACCTAATTTGGTCTTGATGAGTACTTGAGGCTCAACCTCATTTTTTGTTGTTGTTGTTGGTCGTGGGGCCTGACCTCTGGGCCTGGGCGCTGTCCCTCAGCTCTTCAGCTCAAGGCTAGCGCTCTACCACATGAGCCACAGCGCCACTTCAGGCTTTTTCTGCTTTTGTGGTGCTGAAGAATCGAATCCAGGGCCTCATGCATGCAAGGCAAGCACTCTACCACTGAGCCACCTTCCCAGCCACTAAACCTCATATTTGTGGTATACTCCATCATTTTTTATTCGTTTTTCACAATTACCTGGATTGTATGAGCATCACATGGTTAGATAGGCAGCTGGTACTAGAAGACACAGGCTTGTGAATATCCCTTGAGCCCATTTCTTCCTCTAACTTTTGGAAACAGCCTTTCTGCAGTCCTTTATATAATCTCACTTACAGGTCAGCATGAAAATAGTAGCTTAATATTAAGTTTCTGAGCCCTTTACAAATAATAACACCAAGGGAAATCAAAAAAGAAGAAAAACTGTCCATATTTTTTAAAGTTGCTACTCCCACTTGGTGTCTGTGGCTCACACCTATAATCCTAGCTACTCAGAAGACAGACCTTAGGATCACAGTTGAAAGCTGGCCCGTGCATAAAGGATTGTGAGACTCTTATCAGCAATTAACCAGCAAAAAAAAGATGTGAGTGGAGCTGTGGTTCCACTGACAGAGTACCAGCTTGAGCAAAAAAGCTAAGGGATAGCACCCAGGCCCTGAGTTCAAGCCCCAGTACTGCCACACACACAAAAGGTTGCTATTCCAGTCATTCATGGATATCTACAGTTTAAAATCAATCTTAATTTAGACATATATGTTTTATAGAAACTTAAAATAGTAAAAACAAAAATGTCATCAACTTACCTTTATACTTAGGTTGAGACCTAAAGGATTATATACTGAAGCATCAAGAACTGGTTCCAAATATCTTTTCATTTTTTTAATATTTTCAGGTATAGTGTGTCCTAAAATACATGAAATATATATTTTAAGCACTTAGGTTATTTTTCTTATTTTGTCTAAAAATTTGTCAATTATATTAAGGTACAATGATAGTATGTTTAACATGACTATTCTGCTTGACTTTTTAGACCATATATCTATGCATGTATATATATATATTTATTTATAATGTCAGTCATAGTGCTTGAACTCAGGGCCTGAGTGCTGCCCTTGAGCTCTTTCATTCAAGACTAGCACTTTACCTCTTGGAGCAACTGTACCACTTCCAGTTTTCTGGTGGTTAATTGTAGATAAGAGTCTCATATACTTTCCTGTCCAGGCTGGCTTTGAACCATAACCCTCAAATCTCAGCTTCCTGGGTAGCTAGGATTACAAGTATGAGCCACCAGTGCCTGGCTTTGTAGACGCATATCTTATTTTTCCTATCATGGTCCCTTCCAGAAGGTCAAGGCTCCTGAGCACCTTGCTTCAGACTGACCTCTTCCTTCCAGCCCTCTGTTCATGACCAGTCCTGGCCAAACATCCTTTGATTTCTGGTTGTAAGATCATCTCAGCGCCTTCTTAGTGATGAGTAAGTGCTTCCTAATATGGAGGCAGTGAATTTTTATGATAGAATCACTTAAGTCCTTTCAGAGGAAATGATTAGGGCCAGGGTAGGTGTTTAATGGTATAAAGGTATGTGAAATATAAAGGAAATGATAGAGTCTGATTGTAGTCTTAGCCAATTTTCATGGTGGAAATACTTCTACCATTTAATGTCTATTTTCTTTTCTTTTTGAGACTGATCTTGCTAAGTAGTTTAGCCTGGTCTTGAACTTACAATCCTCCTGCTTCAGCTTCCCAAGTGTTGGGGCTATTGATATATTCCATGGATAATTTCAAGATACCAATAGTTTAACAATCAGGCACATAAAATGTTTTAATATTTAAAAATCCAGCCTCCAAATCTGGTAAGAGCAGTCGCTAGGATACTATAGAAAGTACAGAAAATGGGCTGGGAAGATGGCTCAGTGGTAGAGCGCTTGCCTTGCATGCATGAGGCCCTGCGTTCGATTCCTCAGCACCACATAAGCAAAAAGAAAAAAGCCGGAAGTGACGTTGTGGCTCAAGTGGTAGAAAGTGGTAGAGCGCTAGCCTTGAGCTGAAGAGCTGAGGACAGCGCCCAGGCCCAGAGTTCAGGCCCCACGACCGGACCCCCCCCCCCCAAAAAAAAAAAAAAAAAAAAGAAAGTACAGAAAATATCTGGATTATCACTGGATTTTTAAAATTTCAAGATGCTGGACAAATTAGACTCTGAATATTGAACATCTGGATATTTAGTAGCATATTAATGGCTGCTTAAACGTTTTATTTCCAACTAGGCACTGGTAGCTCACACCTGCATCCTAGCTACTCAGGAGGCTGAGATCTGAGTATCATGGTTTGAAGCCAGCCAGGGCAGGAAAGTCCATGAGGTTCTTACTTCCAATTAACCACTGGAAAACTGTAAGTGGCTCTGTTGGTTTAAAACAGTAGAGTGCTAGCTCTACTGAGTGAAAAGCTCAGGGACAGCGCCAGTGCCCTGAGTTCAAGACCCATGACCAAAACAAAAGTTTCATTTCTTTTGATCTAGTCATTGATTCTATCGCCGACTTCTACTTACTCATCTTCTCATCTCAATGTATTACACAAAAACAAACAAAATGTTTGAGGTATAAACTGAGTTTTTTTTTTTTTTTTGGGTCCGGTCGCGGGGCCTGAACTCTGGGCCTGGGCGCTGTCCCTCAGCTCTTCAGCTCAAGGCTAGCGCTCTACCACTTGAGCCACAGTGCCACTTCCGGCTTTTTTCTTTTTGCTTATTTGGTGCTGAGGAATCGAACCCAGGGCCTCAGGCATGCAAGGCAAGCGCTTAACCACTGAGCCAACTTCCCAGCCCCTATAAACTGAGTTTTTAAAAAAACTTTTACTCTTGTCCAGTTTTCTGCTCGTGGTTGGTACACTACCACTTGAGCCATGCCTCCAGCCTGATTTTGTGTGGTTAATTGGAGATGGAACCTCAGGGACTTTTCTGCCTGGGGTGGCTTCAAACGAAGATCCTCCAGATCTCAGCTTCCTGAGTAGCTAGAGTTATAGGATTGTGCTACCAGCATCCTGCTTCCATTTTATTTTAACAAAATATTTATGAAGTGGTGCTGTGGCTAAAGTGGTAGAGTGCTAGCTTTGAGCAACAAAGCTCAAGGACAGCACCTAGGCCACGAATTTAAGTTCTAGGACTAGCACACACATAGAAACGATTTTGCATCTTTTCAGTTCCTGTAACATAAACTTTTAAAGGAAGTCTTCTCTATTTCCAGTCAGATCTAGCCATAGTTCTTATAGCATATTCTGCAGCATGACTTCAATTGATCATCATTACTAATCTACAAAGTGACCTTCTGTTTTAATGAGTGCAGTTCAATTTTTTTTTTTTTTTTGTTAGTTGTGGGACTTGAACTCTGGGCCTGGGCACTGTCCCTGAGCTCTTCAGCTCAAAGTAAGTGCTCTACCACTTGAGCCACAGTGCCACTTCCAGTTTTCTGGTGGTTAACTGGAGATAAGAGTGTCATGGACTTTCCTGCCTGGGCTGGCTTTGAACCAAGATCCTTAGATCTCAGCCTCCTGAATAGCTGGATTACAGGCATAAGCCGCCAGTGCCCAGCTTCAAATTCTTCAGACTGCTCTTCTGCCATCAAATTCAGGTGACAAGGAGTGTACAACCACACACTCACTCATTCTGACCCTTTCCCAAAGAATGACTGACAAGCTCTTAGCCACACAGGCTTCATAAGCCACGGGCGTTCACAAACCAGCAGTGGCATCAGTTAGAGGATAAAAAGATGAAAGAAGACAGCAAAGCCTACTTAGTTCCCAGTTTTTCCTCGTGTTAACTTCAGTCACTGTGACCAGGTATGTAGGTTTCACCGGGATAAGTCCATCCTCGCTGTAAATTTCCAAGGTAACTGGATATTGTGTAACTGGAAACTTAAAACGTGGAACCTAAAACACAAATTCCACAAATGTATGTAAATTTTCCATACGAAAATTCATTTTGTTTCCTGGTGAAGAATCAGTGTGTATTCAGAGGAGCTATTCTAAATGAAGTTCCCAGTAGGATTTACACCTTTCAGGCCTGAACTAAATTGCTCAGGACTTCAAAGGCAGTACACAAACACTGAAATTTATAACTTTCTGTTGGCCCTTTTTGTTTGTTTGTTTGTTATGGGGCTTGAACTCTGGGCCTGGGCGCTGTCCCTCAGCTCTTCAGCTCAAGGCGAGCGCTCTACCACTTGAGCCACAGTGCCACTTCCAGTTTTCTGGTGGTGAATTGGACTTTTCCTGCCCGGGCTGGCTTTGAACTGTGATCCTCAGATTTCAGCCTCCTGAGTTGCTAGGATTACAGATTTGAGCCACCAGCACCTGGCTTGTTGGACTTTTTAAAAAAAATCAGGTGTTTTACATCTTTCAAATTTTTAAAAAATGTTGCTTACAGCCCCATCCCCCACTGCTGCCTGTTATAGTCCTCCAGGCTTTGGCTGTCAAGTTCAAATACAACTCCAACACCTGTTAACAGGTGATATTTAACAAGCTGTCCAGCTTCTCTGTGACTCAGATGAGATAAATCATAGAGAAGACCTAGAGCAGTGTGTAGCAGGAAACAAATGCTCAAGAAATACTGCTCTTACAGCAACCTAAAGGTGAGGCAAGAGGATCAAAAGTTTAAGGCCAGCCAGGGATAAGTAGTAAGACAGAAATAAAAGGAAGAAGGAGGAAGGAAAAAAGGGAAAAAAGAAAAAGGAAAAAAAGATGTTAATTTAACAGCATGGTTTCTATAATAACAACCCTTACAATTTACAATTTGTTGATTTTATGTCCAATCCTGTATTATATATATATTATATATATATAATCTTCATATAGTTACAAATATTGTCTATATACAATATACAGTCTTTCTTTATAGTGTCTTATGATATCTTTAAAATGGATCTATCTGAATATTATATCAACTGCACATATGGTGTTGTTAATGTATACACATTATTTTATTAGTCTTTGGGTGCTTTAATACTAACAGAATGAAATGTTATTTGGCATAGAACCTGTCACTACAACTATATGGAGCTCCTTGAAAACAGAGCCTTCATGTTCTTTGGTCTTAAGAATCTGATACATAATAGACTTTCAAAACTTTCTTCAATGACTCACTCTTGACATTATCAGTTAATGCATCCAGTTTAATAGGTTACAAGTTTCTATCATGTAACATAGTGTGTGTGTGTGTGTGTGTGTGTGTGTGTGTGTGTGTGTGTGTGTGTGTGTGTGTGTGTGTATCCCATGAGATGGACAAGGCAGTATTTTTATTTTACAGATAAAGTTAATTAATTCCTCTAGGTATATTTAAGTCCAGGATCTTCCAACTGTGTGTCAAATTCAGTTCTATGTCCTAATAGACATTTTTATTATGTCTGAATTTTCATGTTTAGGTGCATGTCCAAGTCTTATTTATCAGAAAGTAATGAATAATTTCTTACTTTTTCTTTGCAGTCGGAGAAAGCGACAGAGTCTGAAAGCTTCTGGTCATTTGTGCAATTGCACTCCTCCCGGTTGGAGGCGCCAGCGCACTGTTTGTATTTCCCTGTTTCCTGCAAACAGAGGCAACAGACCTTGACTTGTTTGCTGTGTTGCAGGATTTCTCTGAACTGAGTAAGTATTCAATAAACATTTGTTCCCTGAATAAATACAATTTCCAAAAAGTTAAAAGAGGAAAGTATTCATTAATAATAAATAGGACAGGTTTAGGGTGTAGCTCAGATGTATGGTCTAGACACACACACACACACACACACACACATGCACACGCACATGCACACGCACACATGCACACAGAGCCTACTAAAACAAGCATACAAAATTTCTGATTTGAAACAACCTCCTTGCATGGTAATTTGAGCCCAAGTATTGTTCATATACTGCTAGTTGACTTCAGTGCAGTTATTTTGGACCCAAAAGCCTTTGTCATTCACTGAGCTCCACTCAAAACCTCAGTCTAATCATATATATTCTTTTTGGCACTAGTGGTGTTTGGACTCAGGGCCTCGTGCTTGCTATGCAGGCACTCTAGCTGAATTCAAGGCCCCGGCACTGTTCTGAGAGTTTTGCTCAAGGCTTGCACTCTACCACTTGAGTCATAGCTCCACTTCTGGTATTTTTGGTGGTTAATTGGAGATAAGAATCTCATGGACTTTGCTGCCCCAGCTGGCTTCCAACTGTGATCCTCGAATCTCAGCCTCCTGAGCAGCTAGGATTATAGGCATTAGCTACTGGTACCTGGCCGTTTTGGTAATTTTTGAGATAAGGTCTAGACAAGCACCAGTCTTTGCCAGGTTGGGCATGGATTGAGATCTTTTGATTGTATACTTCTGGCTGTAGCTGATAGGCATGTACTACTAGAACCCAGTTTTTGTTTTTCTGTTGAGATTAAGTCATAAGTTTCTGTTTTTGTTTTTGTTTTTTTTGTCGTGGGGCCTGAACTCTAGACCTGGGCACTGTCCCTCAGCTCTTCAGCTCAAGGCTAGCGCTCTACCACTTGAGTCACAGCGCCACTTCCTGCTTTTTTCTTTTTGTTTATGTGGTGCTGAAGAATCGAACCCAGGGCCTCAGGCATTCAAGGCAAGTGCTCTACCACTTCCCAGCCCCTGAGTCATAAGCTTCTATGCCTGTGCTGCACTAGAATCATGATCCTTTAAGTATCAGCATGGATTAATCCTTTTGTCTTTGGCCCTTGAGTGCAGGATTATGGGTACATGCGACACAATCACTTAAGTTTTCTTAGTGGTCCTGGAACATGAACTCAAAGCCTCCTATTTTCTAGACAGTAACTCTACTACTTGAGTCAAGTTTTAATCTCATTTTCTTCAATTATTTTTCAGCTATGGTTTGGCATTTTTGCTATGGCCAACCAGAATCATGATCCTATTTAGGACTCCACCTAACTGGTATTATACATTCAGCTTATTGGTAAAGTTATACCTCACTAAATTTCTACTTGGACTGACCTCAAACTATGATCTTTTCAAAACTCTGCCTCTCAAGTGACTGACATTTAAGAGGCAAGCCACCAGGCGTGGCCCTTATTCAACACTTTTTAGGCACATCCTATCACTGACAGTATTGTGGGTACTATGAATACAGTAGAGATTTTTTTTAAAAACTTGCCTCATGAAGGTACCTTCTTAAGGGGTCAGAAAGGCAGTAAATAAATTAGTAAAATATATAAAATTATAATTAATGATAAGGAGAACAATGAAGCAGGGGAGGCAGTCAGGAATTGGGCTGAGGGAGATGGGGTTCTGATTCTAGAGTAGTTGGGCAAGGCCTCATTTTGATCCTCGCATTTAAGCAAGACCCTGGGGAAGGTGACAGAGTGAACGCCATGGTGTCTGGTGAAAGCTCATTCTAGAGAGGGATGTTCTGCAACTGCCAAGGCCCTGAGGTTGAAACACACATGGCCAGCAAGTTTGTAAAACAGCAAAGAGGTCAATGTGGTGAGAATAGTTGAGCAGTGGGAAGAGGCGTTAGGCTAGGGATCAGGTAAAGCCAAATCAGAGTCAAGGAGGGCCTTAGAAGTCACTGTAAAAATTTTGTCTTCATGGGAATGGGAAGGTGGCTCAGTAGTAGAGTGCTTGCCTCACATGCATGAGGCCCTGGATTCGAGTCCTCAGCACCACATAACCAGGAAAGGCCGGAAAAGCACTATGGCTCAAGTGGAAGAGCACTAGCCTTGAGCTGAAGAGCTCAGGGACAATGCCCAGGCCTAGAGTTCAAGCCCCACAACCAGCAAAAACAAAAAACACCCCCCCCAAAAGAAAAACAAACTTTGGTCTTCACTCTGAATGAGAAGAGAAAACAATGAAGAATCCTGAACAAACCAAGTATCAATTTTAGGTCTCTGAGCAGGGAGGTGTGTGTATGAATGGATATGAGTGCTTATACATTTGCATATGGATACAGGCAAGTAGGTACATTCTTCTGGTATCCATGAAGTTCCAGTTGAGAACTGGAGAAGCTACCTGTGAGAAGCTACATCACAATGTACTTTTCCTCTAAACTCTAAGGCCTCCCTTTGTTCTTTCTTTCTTGTTCAACTTTACCTCCAGAAGGATGCCTGGCTACTTCTAGAGTGCCAAGGTTCTGCTGAAATTGGGCTATTTTCTAGGCAACAACCTGATGTTGGTTCAAACAGTCTTGTTTCCTAGTAGATAGAATTCCTGTCAGGGGGCTGGAAGATCTGGGATGGACCTGCCAGTATCCATTGACCAAAGATGCTCTCACTGGCCTGTTCTCTTTGAGATTCAAATACAAGACAGGGAGAGGTCAAGGGTAGAGTCCATTTAGATTTCTTGGCTCCAGAACTATATGCAAGAATAGCTGTTAACCGACAGGGGCTAAAGAAGTAGAGAAGGAAAAGGGGCAACAATCATAGTGATAGCCATGGTAACAATAATAATAATAATTGCTGAAGCTTCTTATTTAGTCCACACAGCTAGGTCCATCTATAATTTTACTGAATGATTTCTTTTTTTTGGCGGGGGGAAGGCCCTAGAATGGGACTTGAATTCAGTATCTGTCACTTTTGCTCATTGGCTAGCATTCTACCAACTGAGCCATGCTTCCAATGCCTACTGAATGACTTCTTTCTTTCTTTCTTTTTTTTTTTTGGGGTCCGGTCATGGGGCCTGAACTCTGGGCCTGGGCGCTGTCCCTCAGCTCTTCAGCTCAAGGCTAGCGCTCTACCACTTGAGCCATAGCGCCACTTCCGGCTTTTTTCTTATTGCTTATGTGGTGCTGAGAAATTGAAGCCAGGGCCTCAGGCATGCAAGGCAAGCGCTCTACCACTGAGCCACCTTCCCAGCCCCTACTGAATGATTTCTTAAGTACAAAATTAATACTATGGGGCTGGGACTGTGACTTAGTGGTAGAATGTTTGCCTAGCATGCATGAGGCCCTGAGTTCAATTCTTCGGTTCCACATAATCAAAAAAATAATAAAATTAATAAAAAATTGAAAAAAGAAAACACACACGAACAACAATTATAATGAAAAAATTAATACTATGCTAGTCTATATATAGGAAAAAAGTCATTTACCTTTGACTTATGGAATAGATTTCTAGGTATGGGTTTGCTAGGATCTGCATGATAAAAATTATCTGTGAGTGGAATAGCAATTCCCATATTAGATGGAGGCCTGTAGTTTACCTGCAAGTGATTAAACAAAGAAAATATACAACACATTATCACTTACGAAGATGTACTAATGTAAATATAGATATTTTCCCCCTGAAAAGCATTAAATGCAATTTTGTCCTTTTGTAGCCTAAAGTATTAAGGTAAATTTCTCTTCTCCAACACTACCCCTTATTTTAATCAGTTTCAGAAACCTCCATTCCCAGAGGAAGAGTGGTAAATGCAGTAATAATATTCAGGTGATTTGAGGGGATGCATAGGGTGGGACAGCTGGGGGAAAATGATGAAAGGGATGACATCGATCAAGATACATTGTATTCATAAACTGATGTGTTGCACTGAGACCTCTTTGTACAACTACTTAATGATAATAAAATAATAAAAACTAAGCCTCAACCCATGGTTATATAACTTGGAGCTTGTAAACAAGTGCAAACCACTTTTGGTACCTAAATTAACTACCATAAAGTCAATGTGATAATGTTTATGTATTTTGTAAAAGAGATTTAGTGATGTCCTTAAATACTTCAATATTATTGGTTATTTGCTTTTAGTCACAGGAAAACAATATAAGTAGCTAGTTAGTTAACATCTATTTTTTTTAAAAATGGGTCACAGATTCTGATGAGGCAAAAGTTAAACTCATTACATTGAAATGGGACCAATTAGATACACTAACTTAGGCTAAGTCTGTGTGAGATCAAATAGCTATCTGTATCACAAAAACCCAAAATCACAAGATAGTATAACCAAGTTAAGTTACCAAGGAAAATATCATTATTTTAGAAAGTGTTTATATTTTAGAGTTAAGTAATCATTATTGCCTCCTCAAGACAAGATTGCAAAAGGACCGAAGCATTTGAGAATCTCAGAAAAGAAATCCTGAAACAGGATTCCATGCATGCAGAAGGAATACATCATTGGAACTCTCATACCCATATACTTTGATCCTCCCCCCCCCCCCATCTCCCGGTCACTTGTGGAGCTGTCCCTGAGCTCTTTGGCTCAAGGCTAGTGTTCTACCACTTTGAGCCACAGCTCCACTTCCCGTTCTTAAGTGGTTAATTGGAGATAAAGAGTCTCTTGGGGACTTTCTTGCCCAAGCTGGCTTCAAACCATGATGCTCAGATCTCAGCCTCCTGAGTAGCAAGAATTACAGGCATGAGTCACAGGTGCCCAGGTTTACCTAGATTTCTTACCGGCAGTGTTTTGATCCTGTTGAAACCCTGACTGTCTTGGTGTTCTCCGCTAAGCCAGTCTTCGGGCGGGATGGCCATTCTGGGGACATGGCGCATAGCCCTGAGGTAACTGCAGCTGCTTTTGAGTGTGGGCACCAGCGTGGTCACGAAGCACTCTGATGAGGCTTCCCACATAACCAATGCCAGAGAAGTGGAACCCTGGAAATAACCAGATAAAGAAAGATTACTTAAACTTAACTCATGGCCCTGACTGTTTTCACCCAAAATTCCCATGTTGAACTGTAAACCCTGGGCCCTCAGAAGGTGGCTGTGTTTAGATACAGAGACTTTAAAGAGGCAATCAAAACCACATCACTACGAGCCATGCCTTTCTAAGATTTGGGCACAGACAAGACAGACTGAGGGGTGATCACATAAGGACCAAAAAGAAGATGGCCAACTATGTACCAAGAAGAGAGGCTTTAGGAGACACAAAAACATCTAGTTCTTAGGTCTGCAGCTTCCAGAACTGTAGGAAGGCTAATTTCTAGCCAGGTACCAGGGGCTCATACCTGTAATCCTAGCTACTCAGGAACCTGAGATCTGAGCACCATGGTTTGATACCAGCCCAGGAAGGAAAGTCCTTGAGACTCTCATCTCCAATTAACTATCAGCTCCCTCCCAAGCCCTCTGCCACTCAAAAAAAAAAGTGCAGCTGTGGCTCAAAGTGGTAGAACACTAGCTTTGAGCAAATAAACCTAAAGGATAGTACTCAGGCCCTGAGTTCAAGTCTCAAGACTGACGCGTGTGCGTGTGCACACACGCACACACACACACACACACACAGAGTAAGCTTCTGTTAAGATACCACCCGGTCAGTGGTATTCTATTGTGGCAGCCCTAGAAGACTAATATAGTAAACAGCTAAAGAATATAGAAAAAAGTGCATGCCCGAAGCCTCAGCACATAGGAGACTGTGGCAAGAGAATCAGCAGGAGTTTGAGATGACCCTTGGCAACATAGTAAGACTGACCAAAAAAAAAAAAAAGAAAGAAAAAGAAAAAGAGTGATCCTAGGAACATCAATAAGCTTGATCCTAAGTACCTGTTCGAGAATAAATATTAATAGGAAAATATTTCTTTTTAAAGAAATATATCCTGCTGGGCACTGGTGGTTCATGCCTATAATCCTGGCTACTCAGGAGGCTGAGATTTGAGGATCACAGTTCAAAGCCAACCCAGGCAGGAAAGTCTGTGAGACCCTTATCTTCAATTAACCACCAGAAAACCAGAAGTGATGCTGTGGCTCAAAGTGGTAGAGTACTAGACTTGAGCTGAAGAGTTTAGGGACAGTGTCCCAGGCAAAGAGTTCAAGCCCCAACAACTGACAAAAAGATAAAAAAGAAAAAAGAAATACATCCCAATTGAATTAGAATATATTTCAGTTGGAATTATAATAAAATATATGAAGATAAACAAGGATCAAAAAGGACTTAATTAAATAACACTATTACATCCAATTCAGATCTATGGAGTTTCCTTCATTGATGGATGACTACCTAGTTATTTGCTTTGCAGATGAATGAAACAACTTTCAACTGTGTGTGTGTGTGTGTGTGTGTGTGTGTGTGTGTGTGTGTGTGTGTGTGTGTGTGTGTGTGTGTGTGTGTGTGTGTGTGTGTGTGTGTGTGTGTGTGTGTATGCCAGTACTGGGCCTCTCACTCTTGTTTGGCTTTTTCCACTCAAAGCGGTCGTTTTACCACTCAACCCACACCTCTACTTCCAATTCTTTGCTGGTTAATTGGAGATAAAAGTCTCGTGGACTTTTCTGCCACAATCCTTAGATCCCAGCCTCCAAAGTAGAAGGATTTCAGACTTGAGCCATCAGCACCTGGCTTTATTATTTTTTTTTTTTGTCGGTCATGGGGCTTGAACTCTGGGCCTGAGCGCTGTCCCTCAGCTCTTCAGCTCAAGGCGAGCGCTCTACCACTTGAGCTACAGCGCCACTTCCAATTTTCTGGTGGTTTATTGGAGATAGGAGTCTCACGGTCTTTCCTGCCGGGGCTGGCTTTGAACCACGATCCTCAGATCTCAGCCTCCTGAGTAGCTAGGATTACAGGCGTGAGCCACCAGCGCCTGGCAGCACCTGGCTTTAAAACAACTTCCTGAGCTGGGTGCCAGTGGCTCATGCATGTAATCCTAGCTACTCAGGAGGCTGAGATCTGAGGATCGAGGTTCAAAGCCAGCCCAGGCAGGAAAGTTCATGAGACTCTTATCTCCAATGAACCACTAGAAAACCGGAAGTGGCTCTGTGGCTCAAGTGGTAGAGCGCTAGCCTTGAGCTGAAGAGCTGAGGGACAGGGCCCAGGCCCAGAGTTCAAGCTCCATGATCACAAAAAATAAATAAAAAAACAACAACTTCCTGTTGGTCTACATTTTGAAAAAAAAAAAAAAGATCCAAACAGCAATCTTTATTTCATATAGGTTTTCAGTAGAGATTTATGCACAGTAAGTATATGTGTGTGTTTTCATGCTTTTTTGTTGCTGTTGTTGGTTGTGGGGCCTGAACTCGGGGCTTGGGTGTGGTCCCTGAGCCTCTTCGTGCTGAAGGGCTAGCCCTCTACTACTTGAGCCACACAGTACCAGTACCACTTCCTGTTTTTGAGTGGTTAATTGGAGATAAGAGTCTCATGGGGACTTTTCTGCTTGGGCTGGCTTCAAACCACAAGCCTCAGATGTCAGCCTACTGAGTAGCTAGGATTACAGGCGTGAGGTACCAGTGCCTGGCCCTAAGTACTTTTTATTTTGTTAATTATTATTATTTTAGATAAAGTCTGGTTAAGTTGCTAGGCTTGAATGTAACATTGTTGCCAGGATTCCAATGTTATTTTTGAGTAATTGAATGATGATATGTCACTGTTATATATGACGTATAATACACCTTTTTTTGGTGCCAGTCCTGGGTCTTGAACTCAAGGCCAGGGCACTGTCCCTGAACTTTTGTGCTCAAGGTTAGTTGAACCACAACTTGGCTTCCAGCTTTTTGTTGGTAAACTGGAGATGAGTCTTACAGGCTTCCCTGCCCAGGCCAGCTTTGAACAGTGATCCTCAAATTTCAGCCTCCTGAGTAACTAGGCATAGGCCACTGGCACCTGGCTTAATATACATATTTTATTTTAAGGATGTGTATTTAAGTTTATAGGAATTAAATAATATGTCATCTATTTACTTCAAAATACATGAGAATATAAACAAAGTTAAATAGGGATGGTAAAAAGTAGCATAATATTAAGTATTGACTAATCTGGATAATGAATATATGGACATTTTACTTTTCTGTGTATATGAAAGTTTTCATGATACAAAAAGTTGAGAATTTGTAGAAAAATGTTTACTGATTTGAAAAGATTAAAACATATTTCAAAAAGTATATATATAGTGTTCCCAGTTTAGGGGAAAAAATAAAAAAGTTAATAGCTGCTGAGCATTTCCAAGATGACAGATTTTTTGTTGTTGTTGTTGGTTTTCTGGTGGTTTATTGGAGATAAGAATCTCACAGATTTGGGGGCTGGGAAGGTGACTCAGTGGTAGAGCGCTTGCCTTGCATGCCTGAGGCCCTGGGTTTGATTCCTCAGCACCCCATAAGCAAAAAGAAAAAAGCTGGAAGTGGCACTGTGGCTCAAGTGGTAGAGTGCTAGCCTTGAGATGAAGAGCTGAGGGACAGCGCCCAGGCCCAGAGTTCAGGCCCCACTACCAGACTCAAGAAAAAAAAAAAAAAAAAAAGAATCTCACAGACTTTCTTGCCCAGTCCGGCTTTGAACTGTGATCCTCAGATCTCAGTCTCCTGAGGAGCTAGATTACAGGCGTGAGCCACCAGCAGCCGGCAGTTTAGCCATTCTTAATCCATAGGATTAAGTGTCTTTTTTCTTCTTTTTCTTAGTTTACATTCTAAATTTTGTATAATTAACAGACATTTTTGTAATTAAAGAAAGTCTTACTTGATATACAGATCTGCTAGTCACAGAGATGTCCATTGAATAACTGTCAGTATTGTCAAAAGAGCCATTTACTGAAACATCCAACAAATTTGGGTTCCAACTAATACTTTAATCAATGGCATGTCAAGTGTCCGAATACCTATGGAAGCAATGTCAACAGTTAATGTTATATCATGAAAACGGTAAGCACAATTTATTGGCTAATTAGGTAGAACACCTATGGAATGTATTCCAAAGGCCGTCTATTGGCTGCATATTTTGTGCCAGTACTGGGCATTGAATGCAGGGCTTTGGTACTATACCTCAGTGTTTTAATCAAGGCTGGCACTCTACCACTTAAGCCGTACCTCCACTTCATGATTCATTTATTTGTGTTGGTACTGGGCACTGTCCCTGAGCTTTTTTGCTCAAGACTGGCATACTACCTCTTAAGCCACTGTACCACTTCTGAGGTTTTGGTACTTAAATGGAGATAAGAGGCTCATGGACTTTCCTACCCTGGCTAAAGTTTCAAAAACCATGTTCTTCAAATCTCAGCCTTCTGAGTAGCTAAGATTATAGGCCCAAGACTCTGGTGCCTGGCTTTGTTAGCAACTTTTTTTTTGGCCAGGCTTGGGGCTTGAACTCAGAGCCTGGGCACTGTCCCTGAGCTTCTTTTGCTCAAGGCTAGTACCCTACCACTTGAACCACAGTGCCTCTTTTGGCTTTTTCTGTTTATGTGGTACTGAGAAACTGAACCCAGAGCTTCATGAATGCTAGGCAAGCACTCTATCACTAAGCTACATTCTAGTCCTGTTAGCAATTTTTTTTTTTTTTGGGTACAGTCATGGGGCCTGAACTCTGGGCCTGGACGCTGTCCCTCAGCTCTTCAGCTCAAGGCTAGCGCTCTACCTCTTGAGCCACAGCGCCACTTCCAGCTTTTTCTTCTTTTTTGCTTATGTCGTGCTGAGGAATTGAACCCAGGGACTCTGGCATGCAAGGCAAGCACTCTACCACTGAGCCACCTGGGTCTCTGAGCTTCTTTGTTCAAGGCTAGCACTCTACCACTTGAACCACACCACCTCCTCTACTCAGCTTTGCTGTAGACATACCTCTACTCAGCTTTGCTGTAGACATACTATGCGTTTGAAAAAATGTTTTGTCTAAGAAGATTAGCTTCCTGTCCTTGGAATTCTTGTACATTTCTTCTATTCTTTTTTTTTTTTGGGTCCGGTCGTGGGGCCTGAACTCTGGGCCTGGGCGCTGTCCCTCAGCTCTTCAGCTCAAGGCTAGCGCTCTACCACTTGAGCCACAGCGCCACTTCTGGCTTTTTCTTTTTGCTTATGTGGTACTGAGGAATTGAACCCAGGGCCTTGAGCATGCAAGGCAAGCGCTCTACCACTGAGCCACCTTCCCAGCCCCCTGTCCTTGGAATTCTTGTACATTTCGTCTATTCTATCCTTGTGCTTCTCATGGCTGCTCAAGCACCAAGCATGCTTTAGCCTTTTCTAAAGGCTAAAACCAAGAAGCCAGGGTGTTTATGCAAGGTGATGATAATACCAGCTATTAAATGTTACTCATTAGTTCCTGGGTTAAATCAACTAGTTATTAATCTGAGAATGCTTATACACAAGGAAGAAAACTGTTTATGGACAAGGAACTATAGCCCACTCCAGAAAAGTCAACTAGAAAACTTTACCACTTTTGTCAGCCCTGGCTCCCTTCTGCTTGCTAGCTGAAGGCCCAAGAAGCTTTGCTTGATTTTTTTCTTTTTTAATGCTGGTTGGGTCCTGGGGCTTAAATTCAAGACTTGGGTGCTCTTTCTAAGCTCTTTTGCTCACAGCTAGCTCTCTATCATTTTGTTTATTTGTTTTGGTGGTTAACTGGAGATAAGTCTCAAGGACTTTCCTGCCAGGGCTGGCTTCAAATCTCAATTCTCAGCTCTTGGTATCCTGAATAGTTAAGATTATAGTGTGAGCCACTAGTGCTACCAGGTGCTTGACTTTTTATATGACTTGATGGCATTTCTAAGGTTTCCGTGCCACAAACATCCGTTAGTAGAAAAATAAGGAACATAAGAGGTTTCCAGTTAATTGTTGCCAAAGAAAAAAAGTGTTAGCCATTTAAAGCAAAATATGGTATGTCACATGACACTGCCTCTTTATAGGCAACCTGTCCACAACCTTGCACTATTATGAATTTATTGAAAAGAAAGATTTGAAATGCTCTATTGTCTAATTTCCATTTTTGCTAGCCTGTAAATCAGAGGAGAGAAGTAAAGCATTTGCTTTCAGTCTCAACTGAAGCTGTTTTTTTTAGTTTTTTGTTTTTTTGTTTTTGTTTTCCTGGTCCTGGGGCTTGAACTTGGCTTCGATACTGTCCTTGGGCTTCTTTTGCTAAAGACTAGTGCTCTACTACTAGATCTACTACTAACTTCACTTCTGGCTTTTTCTAAGTTGATTATTTAAGAGTCTGATGAACTTTCCTGTCCAGGCTGGCTTCAAACCATGATCCTCATATCTCAGCTTCCTGGCTAGCTAGGAGTAAGCCACAGAGTCCAGCTGAAACTACTATTTTTTTTTTTTTTTTGCCAGTGCTGGGTCTTGAGCTCTGGGCCTGGGCACTGTCCCTGAGCTTTTAGCTCAAGGCCAACACCACTTGAACCACAGCACCACTTCCAGTTTTCTGGTGGTTCATTGGAAATAAGAATCTCAGGGTCTGGGAAGGTGGCTCAGTGGTAGAGCGCTTGCCTTGCATGCCTGAGGCCCTGGGTTCAATTCCTCAGCACCACATAAGCAAAAAGAAGAAAGCCGGAAGTGGTGCTGTAGCTCAAGTGGTAGAGCGCTAGCCTTAAACTGAAGAGCTGAGGGACAGCGCCGGCCCAGAGTTCAGGCCCTACGACCGGACCCCCCCCCCCCCCCCAAAAAAAAAAGAATCTCAGAGACCAGGCTGGCTTTGAACTGTGATCCTCAGATCTCAGCCTTCTGAATAGCTAGGATTACAAGTGCCAGCCACCATAATTATGGAAGCCAAAGTAAACGTCAGAATATATTTTATATTCAAGGAAAGAAATAATAATTCCTTTTGATTTTTCTCAAGAAAAACAAACTTACCTTTTGTGTTGGGTATGACCTTAACAGCAAGCTTCTGAGTGTTTCCCACATCAATGTATTTCACAGAATTGATGGACTGATCCTCACCAAGTTGTTGTAGCAAATAATTACATGGTTTCAAAAATATTTTCCATGTCCGTCCATTCCTTTGTCCAAAGTTGTGTAAGTACCAATGGCCTTTTAAAAAGGTCGTATTTTTGGGTACACTCCTAGGCATAGTAGCCAAAGCCAAAGCATTCTTAGTATCTATAATCTCTGTGATCAGGAAACTGCTGAAGCCGGGAAGGATCACTGTCTTCTCTATATCCGTAGCTTCAAACGAGGCGTCAGTGACTGGAGGTGAATGGAGGGAAATGAGCACACCCTCTGAGTTTCTAATCGGAGAACAGACTTGCCACATTTCAGGTTACAATCCAAATGTATTTTTGAGAAAGTTTAACATGAATACATCACACATAAACTTGTATTCTAATGTTTACTGTGAAACTTACATGCATTTTCAGAAGACAAAAACATGAAGGCCAAAGAAAGAAACTTATTTTTCTCTCTCCTTCTTTATCAATCTGCCTCTTTCGTTCTTTCCTCCCTCCCTCCATTTTTTTTTCCCTCCCTCCCTTCCTCCCTCCCTCCATTTTTCCCTCCCTCCCTCCCTCCCTCCCTCCCTCCATTTTTCCCTCCCTCCCTCCCTGCCTCCCTCCCTCCCTCCCTCCCTTCCTCCCTTCCTTCCTTCCTTCCCTCCATCCCTCCATCCCTCCCTCCCTGCTTCCCTCCTTCTTTCCTTCCTCAGGTCTACCCAGAAGAACAGCCCTTCCCCCTTCTTCTTCACCTGCCAGAAACCATTAATCACCTGTCAATCACCTGATTGTGAGTTAGTAAAGGATCCCACTTCCTGAACCACCTTGGTTACACCTCGCTCAGTGAGAAATTCCTCATGCTGGGCTGGGAAGGCGGCTCAGTGGTAGAATGCTTTGCATGCATGAGGCCCTGGGTTCGATTCCTCAGCACCACATAAGCAGAAAAAGCTGGAAGTGGTGCTGTGGCTCAAGTGGTAGAGCACTAGCCTTGAGCTGAAGAGCTGAGGGACAGTGCCCAAGCCTAGAGTTCAGGCCCTACCACCAACCAAAAAAAAAAAAAAATTCCTCGTGCTCTGAGATCATTTCCACATCCACTGTGGTCCCACCCCCTGCCTTTCCCTATATAATCCGGCTCAACACAAATCCCCTCCTCTTTTTCTCTTTTTCCTTCCCTTCTGTCTCTGTGTCTCCATCTTGTGGAGGCTGACAGTTTGCTCCCCCCCCCCCCCCCCCCCCCCCCCCCCCCCCCCCCCCCCCCCCCCCCCCCGCCACTAAACTCTCCTCTGCCTGAATCATGTGGCTGTTTCCTTTCTGGTGAACCTTACATCTTCCTTTCCTGTTTTCTTTCTTTTTTCTTTTTCTTTTTTTTGTCAGTTGTGGGGCCTGAACTGTGGGCCTGGGCGCTGTCCCTCAGCTCTTCAGTCAAAGCTAGCGCTCTACCATTGAGCCACAGCACCATTTCCGGCTTTTTCTGCTTATGTGATGCTGAGGAATCGAACCCAGGGTTTCATGCATGCAAGGCAAGCACTCTACCACTGAGCCACCTTCCCAGCCCAAGGCGGGCCTTTTCATATGCTAAACAGATGATCCACTACTGAGTTATATTTTCACCAATAAAATGGTCTTTATTGTCTGTATAAAATATCCTAGTTGATGGGCTGGGAAGGTGGCTCAGTGGTAGAGCGCTTGCCTTGCATGCCTGAGGCCCTGGGTTCGATTCCTCAGCACCATATAAGCAAAAAGAAAAAAGCCGGAAGTGGCACTGTGGCTCAAGTGGTAGAGTGCTAGCCTTGAGTTGAAATGCTGAGGGACAGTGCCCAGGCCCAGAGTTCAGGTCCACGACCGGACCCCAAAAAAAAAAAAATCCTAATTAGGTGGCCACTTCTATTGATGAAACATTAATGGAATTCCAGGCATGTATTATTATATTACAAACAAATGAGTTAGATCCCAAGTGTATTAAACTTTGATAAGTTGCCATTTGGACTAAATTTCATACTAGAGCTGTGAATGTAGTTCAGTGGTAAAGCATTTGCAAGACTCTAGGTTTGAGCTCCATCACTGCAAAAAAATAATAAAATAAATTAAAAAAGAAACAATGCTCTGTAAAGGAACATAAACAGTTTTTTTTTTTTTTTTTTTGGTTGGTCATGGGGCTTGAACTCTGGTCTTGGGCACTGTCTCTCTGCTCTTCAGCTCAAGGCGAGAGCTCTAACACTTGAGCCACAGCACCACTTCCAGTTTTCTAGTGGTTTATTGGAGATAAGAGTCTCACAGACTTTCCTGCCCAGGCTGGCTTTGAACCATGATCCTCAGATCTCAGCCTCCTCAGTAGTTAGGATTATAGGAGTCAGCCACTGGCGCCCGGCCTATAAACAGTCTTTTAAAAAGATTTCTTTTCACTTCCTGTAACCATTAGAGATGTGTTATATGTGTATATTTACCTTGTGGATCAAGAACAAGTTTATAGGAGGCAGTATGAGTTTCTTCAATGGAAAGAGAGCTAGACAAACAAGAGCTCTCATTTGCTTCTTCTACTGCAAAGGGTTCTATCAGTTCTGTGAGGACTGAGGTCAAAAATCCTACAGGCTTCTTATGCCGCAGTACCTTCTTTATGGCAGCTACTCCAGATTTACTAAAAACAAACCAACAAGACACTAAACAATTTGCATATTCAAATGATTTAACTGAACCGGTTTATAATGCATGCAATTTACAAATAAGATATACCATTCTAGGCATATAAGCACTTGATCATTTATTCAAACTAATTGTCAATAACATGACAACTACAGTTTTGTACCTCAAAATTAGTATAGATTTATATTTTTCTTCCTTCCTTTATTCCTTCCCTGCTTCCTTCCTTGATTCTTTTTTGCTCTCCTTCCTTCCTTCCTTTTTTCCTTCCTTCCCTTCCCTTCCCTCCCTCCCCTCCTTCCTTCCTTTCTTCCTTCCTTCCCTTCCTTCCTTCCTTCCTTCTTTCCTTCCTTCCTTCTTTCCTTTGTTCTTTCATTTTTTTTTGTAGTGCTTGGGCTTGTATCTGGGCCCTAAGAAAGGGAAAAACAAGTGTTTTACCAGTGCGCCAACAAAGCATTAATAAGACAACGTTTTTGTTTGGTTCAAGATTGGGATTTGAACTCACTATCTGACACTTTTGGTCACTGGCTGGCACTCTACCACCTAAGCTGTGCCTCCAACCCCTAATGAGACATTTTGATGAGAAACACACAAAACAAATCTTAGTCTAATGTTTTCTATCTGAAGATGCTGAAAGCTAGTTTTCCCATTCATCCCTCTTAACTGCAGCTTTATTTGTGACCATGTAATAAAGGCCAGAGTTTTTTTTTTAAGTTTAAACTTTAAGTTTTGGGTTGGAACTCAGGGCCTTACCCTCACATTCAGCTTTTTCCGTCTAGGCTGGTGCTCTACTCCTTGAACCACAGCTCTACTTCCCACTATGTGGTAGTTAACTGCAGATAGGAGTCTCACAGATATTCCTCCTGCAGCTGGCTTCAATCCTTGATCTTTAGTCTCTTTTGTAGTTAGGATTACAGTCATGAGCCACCACCACCCAGATAAAGTTTAAACTTTCTTTCTTTCTTTTTATTTTTTGGGTCCGGTTGTGGGGCCTGAACTCTGGGCCTGGGCGCTGTCCCTCAGCTCTTCAGTTCAAGGCTAGCGCTCTACCACTTGAGCCACACCGCCACTTCCGGCTGTTTTCTTTTTTGCTCATGTGGTGCTGAGGAATCGAACCCAGGGCCTCAAGCATGCAAGGCAAGAGCTCTACCACTGAGCCACCTTCCCAGCCCCTAAACTTTCTTTTTTTTTTTTTTTAAGAATATTATATGGCTGGGCCTGGTGGAACATGCCTTTAATCCTAGCTATTCAGGAGGCTATGATCTGAGGATTGTGGTTCAAAGCCAGCCTGGGCAGGAGACTCTTATCTTAAAAACAAAAACAAAAACAAAAACAAAACCTCAGAAAACCGGAAGTGGCACTGTGGCTCAAGTGGTTCAGCGCTAGCCTTGAATTGAAGGGCTAGGGACAGGGCCCAGGCCAAGTTCAAGCCCCATGACAAAAAAAAAAAAAAGAAAAAGAATATTATACAGAAACAGGAGCTGTGGCTCAAATGGTAGCGTATTAGCCTTGAGGAAAAAGCTCAGGGACAGTACCCAAGCCCCGAGTTCAAGCCCCAGGATCAGCACAAAGCAAAACAAAAATAAAACAAAAACATCAAGCAGTCAGGCTAGCAAAAAGGTACTCAAGGGCTGGTAATGTGGCTTAGTGGTATGGTGCAGTGCTTGCCTAGCATGCATGAAGCCCTGGGTTTGATTCCTCAGTACCACATAAAGCCAGAAGTGGTACTGTGGTTCATGTGGTAGAGTGCTAGCCTTGAGCAAAAGAGGTTTAGGGACAGTGCTCAGGCCCTGACTTCGAGCCCCGAGACTGGCAAAAAAAAAGTAAGTATTCAATAATATTTTCTTTATAAAACAAGTTAGTATTTCAGTACAATGTAACTATGCAGAATACATACAATAAACATGGTCACAAAACAAAAACTCTCCTGGCTCATAACAGATTTGAAAAAGCATGATAGTCACTTTGATTATAATAAAAAAATAAAAATGATTGAAACATTAAGATGGCAGTTGACAAAGAGCCAAATGTGTGTGTGCATGTGTGTGTGTGTGTGTGTGTGTGTGTGTGTGTGGTGTGTATTCACCAAGACTATGGTTCCTATAAAATAATAATACTTAGATACTAACATATAAAACATAAAATTCTAACATTATGAGAATCTGAGGGAATAAAACAAGACATTTTCAGCCAGGTACGCCTATAATTATAGCTACTTAGGAGACTGAGATCTGGATATCATGGTTTCAATCTAGCCAGGGCAGGAAAGTCTATGAGACTCTGATCTCCAATTAACCACCAAAAAGCCAGAACTGAAGCTGTGGCTAGAGTAGGAGAGTACTAGGCTTGAGTGAAAAACTCAGGGATAGCTTCCAGACCCTGAGTCCAAGGCTCCCCTGCCCCCCCCCCCCCCCAATTAGAATCTAAAGATCAGCAGTCAATCTAAGTAAGTATATTATTCTTTACCCAGAATGTATCAGTTTTCCAAAGTGAACATTTCTAAATATCTTTGAACGGACAGTGCTCACAGGTTCGTTCAGAGGTGCGTATGCAAAAAATGCCATCTCATTAAGGGAGATATACTGTGGAGCAAGTGCAGTCTCAAAGCCCAAATCAGGAGCCTGGAATTGAAGAAAACATTGTATTTAAAATACATTATGCTTCCATTAGGATACAGGTTAAACCTCAGATTTGTTTCCAGTTCTTTTCAATATTGTTTCACTTATCCTCTGGAGTGATACAAGATGTGATGTCTTTGAATATCCGTGTGTGCTGGGCACCCATGGCTCATGCTTGTAATCCTGGTTACTCAGGAGGCTGAGATCTGAGTACCACAGATGGTTCAAACCCAGCCTGGGCAGGAAAGTATATCCATATCTATATCTATCCACATGCATGCAAGGGTAGGCATGTGCTTTTCTGTTAATGAAAAAAGATGGCAAAGACTCAGTTTAAGATTCTTGTGCCCTTTGTAGAAGGCTGTAATGGGAATGTCTGCAGAGGTGTGTCTGGAGTCAGGGGCTACGAGTTTTAGATCTGGGTTCTTATGGGTGGGGAAGGTGGCTCAGTGGAAGAGTGCTTGCCTTGCATGCATAAGGCCCTGGGTTCAATTCTTCAGCATGGCATAAGAAGAAAAAAAAAGGCAGAAGTAGAGCTGTGGCTCAAGTGGTAGAGTGCTAGCCTTAAGCTGAAGAGCTGAGGGACAGCGCCCAGGTCCAGAGTTCAGGCCCCACGACCAACAAAAGAAGCAGAAGCAGAAGAAGAAGAACAACAACAACAACTGGGTTCTTATTCAGTTTCATTTACAAAAGGACTTGTCAATCCTAAGTCTCATGACAATGACTTTTGCGTGGCACGTCCATTCTCATTTCTTCTAATTCACAGAGTTGCCCTTGCAACCTTCTTTTCAACAGGGCCAATCCTAGCCCTGTACAGATTTGGGAACTTTTAGAGGTGAGAAGTATGTACTCATCCCAATGGGGATATTGGCATTGACATTGTTGCTAGGTGACAAAGGAATGACTGGTGTCACGCGCAGTGCCTCCAAGATCAATTCTCTTGTCTATTAAGCATTTTTTCACATTTTTGAATTATTTTTATTTATTTTTAATTTTGGGAACTTCCTAAGAAAGGGGACACCTGGGGAAGAAGAACATGTGGCTAGAAGGACAGGCCCTGGATCCAGTTGCCATTGTTCCCAACTCCAATAAAGAACCACTTGCATATTTTTTGGTCAATTATTTGTCCTCCTTGTGTCATTTCCTCATAAGTAAAATGAAGATAAACAGTTGTTATAAAAATAGAGTTTTAGTTGGGCAACAGTGGCTCACGCCTATAATCCTAGCTACTCAGGAGGCTGAGATCTGAGGATCCCAAGGCAAAGCCAGACCATGTGAGATTCTTTTTTTTTTTAAATTTAGTCTGTGAGATTCTTATCTCCAACAAACTACTAAAAACTGGAAGTGGTGCTGTGGGCTTAAGCAGTAGAGCGCTCACCTTGAGCTGAAAAGTGTAAGGGCAGTGCCCAGGCCCAGAGTTCAAGCCCCATAACCGACAAAAAAAAAAAAGAAAAAAGAGTTTTAGCTGGGTGCTGGTAGCTCATGCTTATAATCCTAGCTATTCAGGAGGCTGAGTTCTGAGGATTGCTGTTCAAACACAGCTCAGGCTGGTAAATCCATAAGACTTTTACTGTCAATTAACCACCGGGAAACCTGAAGTGGCGCTGTGGCTTAAAGTGGTAGAGCTCCACCTTGAGCAAAAGAGCTCAGGACAACACCCAGGCCTTGAGTTCAAGCCCCATAACTGACAAACATAAAAATAAATAAATAAATAACCAAAATAACAGTGACTCGTACATATTAAGAGCTAGTGCTTCTCCCTGCCACAAGAGGATGCACAGCAGCATTCGTGGAGAATGAGTGGTGATGCTGTGGTGTATAAGTTCCTCAAACTCAACCTGAGTATTAAAACCCCTACAGGCTTTTTTTTTTCTTTTTGGCCAGGGCCTAGGCACTGTCCTTGAGCCTCATTTGTTCGAGGCTAGCACTCTACCACTTGAGCCACGGTGCCATGTCCAGCTTTTTCTGTGTATGTGGTACTGAGGAATTGAACCCAGGGCTTCATGCATGCTAGGCAAGCACTCTACCACTGAGCCACCTTCCCAGTCCATGGCTTTTCATTTTAATGGAAGGAAGTTAGGCCACTTGCGGCAAAACTACAATGTTAGTGAGCCACTGAGGTAACTCCTGTTTGGTTAGGTCCACTCTACTGTTCACAGCATCCACTCTGTATATTTGCAGAATCCACAGCTCAGATATTGGTGCTTCCACAAGATGCATACACAGGTGTTATAGCACCCCACTCTCATGGAAGGGTTCTCCACCCTTGCTGTGTCTGCATTTCTCAGACAGGAGATACTAAAATATCATTCTCTCCACTGGAACCTACCCTGGTAAGTGGAATGGGAAGTCTTTACTAGATGCTAACCTTGAGTGAAAAGCTCAGAGACAGCCCCCAGGCCCTGAGCCACACAAATACACACACACACACACACACACACACACACACACACACACGTTTGCTTCATTGCTGATATATTGATGACTTCATTTTCATGACTGCATGGCCAATGTCAAGTGTATAGACCTATATAACCTCACAAGTAGCCTATTACACATTATCGTGCACATTATCTTTATTCTAAGAGTCAGTATCTAGTGTCATTTATGCAGAACATTAAAAACTCTGTCTTAGCCGGGCGCTGGTGGCTCACGCCTGTAATCCTAGCTACTCAGGAGGCTGAGATCTGAGGATCACGGTTCAAAGCCAGCCCGGGCAGGAGAGACCGTGAGACTCTTATCTCCAATAAACCACCAGAAAATCGGAAGTGGTGCTATAGCTCAAGTGGTAGAGCACTCGCCTTGAGCTGAAGAGCTGAGGGACAGCGCCCAGGCCCAGAGTTCAAGCCCCACGGCCGACCAAAAAAAAAAAACAAAAAAACTCTGTCTTATATTAGGATCAAAGAAACTAGAGGGCAGAGTTAACATGAAAGAAGAAAAGTGAGCCAAAATTCATGTTTCCTCAAGGTCAACCTTAGGAAGTAGAGAATCAACCCCAATAACAAGGGATATAATTTAGAGGATCTGATGTTGTTCTGCTGCGAAGATTAAAAAAATTATTGTAAAGATTCTGTACAGAGGGGTTACAGTTACATGAGTAAGATAATGAGTACATTTCCTATCGAGCCTTGTTATCCACTCCTTTGTTTTTCCCCTACTATCCCTTCCCTCCCTACCTCCCCAATTCCTCCCTCCCCCCTCAAGTTGTAAAGCTCACTTTCAGCATAGTGTCTTGGACATCTCATTGTTACAATGGGTCAACCTGTATCCTTGTTTCAGCATTTTGTTATTTCCCTTCTCCTCCCCAAATGAGGAAAATGTATATACTAGATGCAGGGCACCAGAATCAAATACAGTGAAAACAGGGGTTTTCTGTGAAGATACTTGCATGAAGAGATCCTGGGTAGATTTGAAGCACTAAAAAAGACAATATTTTGGAATATTTGTAGAAAGAGTTTTCCCTCAAGATTTAATAGAGCAAAGAGTATTAATGACACTTTGATGCTAGGAAAATACCTTCCTGCCTTCCCATTATTCTCTGGGGAATTATTCTTAAGGCAAACTGTTTCAATGTATCATGTCACTGACCTCTCCAAAAATACTTGTAGAACTTCCCAAGGCTCCAACTTCTGCACCAGAGTCAAAGTGATCTGGAGTTAGTTTATGTATGAATCCCAAGTGATCATAGTATAATGTGAAAACTGGGTCATCAATGATTCCAATTCTAGTAAATACTTGTAGTCCTGTTAGGAAATAAACAGAAGTCTCTTGATACTGACACAGTACAACTAGACAAAATTTCATAGCTTTTTTTTTTTTTTTCCCAGGGCTGAGGACCGAACCCAGGGCCATGCGGGCGCCGGGCTGGCACCCTCCCGCTGGGCTAAACCCCCAGCCCCTAGACAACATTTCATATCACTCCCTGTAACAATTTCTTTACTTATACTAAAGGGAAGCAGGAAAGAAAAAATACACTATCAATTCAGCTGGTGCATTTGAAAAAAATGATCATTTTAATTAAATACTGAATCTTAGCAAATATTTTTTTTTTAATTTTTTTTTAATTTTAGCAAATATTTTCTGTACTCACTGAGATGATCATAGGTGATAATAAGACACTGAAACCAGAGATATTGCAAAATATGTGTGTCTGGGAAATAAATTTTACATCCCAACATACACAAAATCAGAAGTTTTGCATAGACTTATAGAGGAAATCTAAAACAACCAGTCTGCTGGAATAAAACAAAATATATTCATAATGAACCTAGGCAAAGAATTCTCGAGCAGGATATACAAAGAAAGAACCACTGGGGGGTGGTGGTAGCTCACACCTGTAATCCTAGCTACTCAGGAGCTTGAGATCTGAGGATCACAGTTCAAAGCCACACTGGGCAGGAAAGTCCATGAAATTCTTTTTTTTTTTTAATTGTGAAAATACCATACATAGGGGTTACAATGACATGGGAAAGATAATGAGTACATTTCTTTTTTTTTTTGGTCCTGTTGTAGGGCTTGAACTCTGGGCCTGGGCGCTGTCCCTCAGCCCTTTAGCTCAAGGCTAGCGCTCTACCACTTGAGCCACAGCACTACTTGCAGCTTTTTTCTTGTTGCTTATGTGGTGCTGAGGAATCGAACCCAGGGCCTCAGGCATGCAAGGCAAGCGCTCTACCACTGAGCCACCTTCCCAGCCCTGAATGGTACCATTCTAGAGAACAGCTACAACAGTTCTTTTCCCTTAGTGGAGTAAGGGGCTGAGCCCAGTGTCACAAACTCTGTGGCAAATGTTTAACTCCTGGGCCACCTCTCTGGTCCAGTGCTGAGAAAATGTACCACAACCTGGCCCCTACCCAGAACCACCTAAGTGTTCTATTTCAACTGAAAGGATGTGATATTAAAACCTCCAACCAAAAACCTGGCTTCAGGTACACAAATCCCAACATAGACACAACTAATATGAAAAAAACGAGGCAACATATCTCCAGAAAAGTCAACAATTTCACAATAAAGGACTTGAATGTTAGTGTGTGAGTAAAATCTCAAACAAGGAATGCAAAAAATAATGATAAACATGATCATCATGATAAAGAGGACATGTATAAACAAATAAACAGATGAGTGATTTTGAAGAAAATCCAAACATGTATCTGATTGAAATAAGGGAGACAATGCAGGATATCAGAGAGAAGTTCAATAAAGATAGAGAAATCTTGGAAAAAAAATCAAATTGACACCTTGGAAATAAACAGTTCAGTAACTCAAGTAAAAACTAATTTGAAAGCCTTGCTAATGTAATAAAACAAGTTGAAATTAGACTATCAGAGACTGCAGATATAGTAATTAGAAAAAGCAGACAAAGACAAAAAATATTAAGAAAATTAGAGTGAAACACACAAGATCCCTGGGACAACACTAACAGACCAAATCTATGAATCATAGGAGAAGAAGAAGAGGAGGAGAAAGAGGAAGAACAAGAGGAGAGGGGAAGAAGAGGAGGAAGAGGGGAAGAAGAGGAAGAGGAAGAAGGAAGAAGAGGAAGGGAGAAGAAGAGGAGGAGGAAGAGAAGAAGGAGGAAGAAGAAGAAGGGAGAGGAGGAAGAGGAAGAATAAGAAGAAGGAAGAGGAAGAGAGGAAGAGGAGGAGGAGGAGGAGGAGGAAGAGGTACAAGCTAAAGGCATGGATAACATTCAATAAAATAATAGTAGAGGGCCTGGGAATGTGGCTTAATGGTAGAGTGCTTGCTTAGCATGCATGAAGACGTCGGTTCAATTCCTCAACACCACATACACAGAAAAAGCCAGAAGCGGTGTTGTGGCTCAAGTGGTAGAGTGCTAGCTTTGAGCAAAAGAAACTCAAGGACAGTGCCCAGGCCCTGAGTTCAAGCCCTATGACTGGCAAAAAAACAAAAACAAAATAAAAAAGATTGGAGTTGAAAAGGGGTATATCACATCAAATACTGATGAAATCCAGAGGATCATTAAGAAATATTTAGAAAAAGTTGCATTCTTATAAACAAGAAAATAGGGGACATAGATAAATTTTTAGATGCTTTTGACTGTCCAGATTGATTTACTGCTTACTTCTTTTATTAATTTATTATTATTATTTTTTTTGGGTCCGGTTGTGGGGCCTGAACTCTGGGCCTGGGCACTGTCCCTCAGCTCTTCAGCTCAAGGCCAGCGCTCTACCACTTGAGCCACAGCGCCACTTCCGGCTTTTTTCTTTTTGCTTATGTGGTGCTGAGGAATCGAACCCAGGGCCTCAGGCATGCAAGGCAAGCGCTCTACCACTGAGCCACCTTCCCAGCACAATTTACTGCTTACTTCTATCTACCAATTTTCTTCAGGCTATTCCATAAAATAAAAAGGAAAGGAATGGATGTTATATTCAATTCTGTGATGCTAGTATTACCTCTATTCCAAAGCCTACTAGGGATACAACAAAAAAATTTCCTTGATGAATGTAGAGGCAAAAGTTCTCAATAAAATACTTGCAAATTTGCTGGGTGCTGTTGGCCCATGCCTGTAATCCTAGCTATTTAGGAGGCTGAGATCTGAGGATCAAGAGTCTATGAGACTCATCTCCAATTAACCAGCAAAAGACCAGAAGAGAATCTGTAGCTCAAGTGGCAGAACACTACTAGCCTTGAGCATAAAAGCTCAGGGACAGTGCCTAGGCAATGAGTTCAAACCCAAATGATTAGTATGGGTATGTATGCAGCACACACACACACACACACACACACACACACACACACACACACACACACACACACACACCTTCCAAATTAGGTTCATTCCAAGGTTTCCAGGGTGGGCTTACATGCATATATAAAGAAACTTAGTATGATACATAATCAGAATCAAGGACAAAAAAGCATATTATCATCTCAACAGGTACAGAAAAAACCCTGGATAAAATCCAACATTCTTTCATGCTAAAAGATCTTCTGAAACTAGAACAAGGCATATTCCAACATAGATGAAAGCATTTCTTTTATATTTTACTGAAAATACTTAAATAAACTCAACCAGGATTAAAAAAAAAACTCAATAGAACTCTAAATAATGTTGCAGATTTAGCTAGACACAAAATTAATAACCATGTCCTTTTCTTTTCTTTCTTTTTTTTTTCTGTAGGTCGTGGGGCTTGAACTCTGGGCCTAGGCACTGTCCCTCAGCTCTTCAGCTCAAGGCGAGTGAGTGCACTACCACTTGAGCTACAGCGCCACTTCCGGTTTTCTGGTGGTTTATTGGAGATAGGAGTCTCCTGCCCGGGCTGGCTTTGAACCGTGATCCTCAGATCTCAGCCTCCTGAGTAGCTAGGATTACAGGCGTGAGCCACTAGCACCCAGCTTCCATGTCCTTTTCTTATTCCAAGCTAGAGAAATTCAACTGAGTGGAATTCAACTGGTGGCATGATTGAAGTGACAGTGCACCTGCTTTGCAAATGTGAGGCTTAGTTCAATCCCTAGTACCATTAAAGAAAGAGAAAAACTAAAAAAAAGAAAAAAAAAATTAAAAAAGAAAGGGATAAAAGAAAGGGAGTGGGCAATGGTCAGTGAGGTTAACCATTATTTTCATTGTGTGAACAAAGAAGAGCTATTCCTACTACATGAATGAAATCACTAGATTGCCAAGTCAAGATGATGGAGAATAAATGATCCATCGAACAACTTTATCCCATAGTTCTGTGTACCCGCTTAAAATATTGTTGCATAGGCTTCAGCAAAGTGGTTGTGATACTAAAGAAGAAGCCATTGTATCATGCTGAGGACAACTGTAGCTTGCTGAGTGTATCTATTATTATTGGCGTTGGGTCAGTAACACAGCATTGATGCTGTGAATGAGAACATAGCATGTGGATCCAGAGTTTCTCTTCTTTATGGATGTTTATAGAATCTGCGTTCTGTAGATCCTACAAATCTATCACCCTTAATAGGTGGAGACCTCAGGCCTGGATGATTAGAAAGGCATTTCCTTTTCATATACTTTTGATCCCTGGTCCACTTGGGGTGCTTTCAACAATAAAAGTAAATTTCTTACCTGCCTTTGTCAAGTAAATCCTTCTATTTATGGAAACCAAAACAATATCTGAAGTATAAAAGCTATGGTAAGTGTCCTCAATGACGTTATGGTAAAATGCACAGATTAGTTCAAACGTGTTGCCACCATCCATTGAAATCCAGATCTAAGGGAATAAAGAGATGGCACCTCACTGAAGAGTTGAGGTAAACAGTCAGCAATTACCTTTCTTCCTACATCAAAGGGGTCAGTCCTATGGTGTGCACACATGTACAGGCCTCTTACCTCTAAGATCTACCTTCCATCTCCATCCTAGAGTCTGTGATAGTGGTTATGGCAGAGAATAGGGGGTGCACACTATGCACAGCAAATGTATAAAAGAACATCACTCCCATTGCCTTTCAAATGGAGTTTCCTTGTTCACAAAAGGAGGGAATGCTGGGTACAGGTGAATATATGCCGTGGTTTTCTAGGTTCCCAACGGGGAAGCATAAGGGATTGATTTTTAAATCCTTTTACTTTCAGGAAGTGGTGCTATGGCTCAAGTGGTAGAGTGCTCGCATTGAATTGAAGAGTGCAGGGACAGTGCCCAGACCCAGAGTTCAAACCCCATGATCGACAAGAAAAAAAAAATCCTTTTACTTTCATATGCATTCCCTTAAGTGATACATTTGCTTTGTTCCATAAATCTTGATGAGTTGTAGTTTCAAAATAGTTCTTATTTTACATTTGCACAAAAGTACTGATCATTGTTTTATTAGGTGTTCATTATGAGAAGTGAGGTACCCTGGTAATTACTTTACATATAATATATATTTCAACCTGTACCCCAATGCCCAGAGTAATAACTAACCTCTGCATACAAATGGATTGTAGAGGTAGCATAAGGTTTAAGTCTAGGACATGCCAGAGCCAGGATTTGCACTGACAACAGAGGCTCCAGCTGTAGCTCAAAATTTTTTTTTTTTTTTTTTGGGGTCCAGTTGTGGGGCCTGAACTCTGGGCCTGGGCGCTGTCCCTCAGCTCTTCAGCTCAAGGCTAGCGCTCTACCACTTGAGCCACAATGCCACTTCCGGCTTTTTTCTTTTTGCTTATGTGGTGCTGAGGAATCGAACCCAGGGCCTCAGGCATGCAAGGCAAACGCTCTACCACTGAGCCACCTTCCCAGCCCGCTCAAAATATTTTAAAAAATTATTTTTTTGTGATTTATTCTCTGGTTCCTATGTCATTTTGATGTGTGTTGTTTAATTTTGAGATTTTTCTCATTTCCTTTCTGTTATCAATTTCTTTCTTTCTTTATTTATTTTTTTTGTTGGTCGTGGGGCTTGAACTCTGGGCCTGGGCGTTGTCCCTCAGCTCTTCAGCTCAAGGCGAGCGCTCTACCACTTGAGCTACAGCGCCACTTCCGGTTTTCTGGTGGTTTATTGGAAATAGGAGTCTCACGGTTTCTCCTGCCCGGGCTGGCTTTGAACCGAGATCCTCAGATCTCAGCCTCCTGAATAGCTAGGATTACAGGCGTGAGCCACCAGCGCCTGGCTTCTGTTATCAATTTCTACACTATTAGATTTCACAATGTCTATGGCCCGAGAATACGATTTCTATTTTTTTTTTTTTTTGGGTCCAGTCATGGGGCCTGAACTCTGGGCCTGGGCGCTGTCCCTCAGCTCTTCAGCTCAAGGCTAGCGCTCTACCACTTGAGCCACAGCGCCACTTCCGGCTTTTTTCTTTTTGCTTATGTGATGCTGAGGAATCGAACCCAGAGCCTCTGGCATGCAAGGCATGCGCTCTACCACTAAGCCACCAGCCCCATGATTTCTATTGTTTTAAATTTACTGAAGTATGTTTTATGGCCAAGAATGTGGTTAATATCTCAATGAGTGTGCCCTGCAAGTTTCAGAAGGATTTGTATTCTTCTGTTGTTGGATGAAAGTGTCCATCGATGTCCATTATATTGGGTTGATTATGATGCATGAAGTTTGGTATATCCTTTTCTGGTTTTTGATCTGCTGTATCTGCCCATTTCTAAGGGGTGGTAAAGTCACCAAATGTGCTGGTGTCACTGAGTCTTTGCAATGCCCTCAGTTTTTGCCTCAGTGTTTTTGGTCCTCTGTGGTTATGGAAAATCATGATAAATACAATGATATCTTCTTGGAGAACCAACCTCTTTATCAACACAATGCTCTTTATCTCTTGGTCTGAAGTCTACTCTGCTGAAATTAATAGAGCTACTCCTACTTACTTGTTGAGTGATGTTACCATGGTGTCTCTCTTCATCTGTTTACTATTCATCTGGATGGGTGCTTATATTTAAGGTGGGTTTCTTCTGTACAGCATATAACTGGGTCTTGTTTTCAGACCCACTCTGATGAACTATATCTTTGGATTGGTGCATTCAGATGATGAATGTTCGCAGTGACATCAGTAGATCTGGTAGAATTCATATCTACCATATTCATTTTATATTTGTTGCCTCTTTTTTTTTTTGGTAGTGGGACTTGAACTCTAGGCCTGGGCCATGTCCTTAAGCTCTTAGCTCAAGGCTAGTGCTCTACCACTTGAGCCACAGCACCACTTCTGGCTTTTTCTAGTGGTTTATTGGAGATAAGAATCTCATGGACTTTCCTGCCCAGGTTGGTTTTGAACCACTATTTTCAGATCTCAGCCTCCTGAGTAGCTAGGATTACAGATGTGAGCTACTGGCGCTCGGCATTTATTGCTTCTTTTCCTATTTCATCTCCCATTCTTTTCCTATCTTTTATGGCCTTAATGGAACATTTTGTGTCATTCCGTTTTCTTTTATTAGCGGGCTAATTAATACTTCCTTGTGTGTGCAGGTCCTGGGACGTGGACTCAGGCCCCACGCCCTTGCTCAGTCTTTTTTTTCATTCACAGTTGGTGCTCTACCACTTGAGCTACTCCTTCCTCCCCTTTCTCTCCTCTCTCTTCTACCTGTCTCTTCCCTCACATTCCCCTCCTTTCTTAGCTGCCTCCTCTTTCCTATTTTCTCCTCTCTTCTTGCTGAATAATCATCTCAGGGAGTTTTCATGTGGGATACATTTCTTGAAGCATTCAAGGGTTTTTGAGTTTTGTCCATCTGTCTTTGAGTTTTGTCCATTTGACAGTAATGTGTCCCACTGTGAGTCTTTATTGCATTTGTCTTGATTGAAGTTTTTGATCTTTTTGAATTTGTATATCTATTTCTGTCCTCATTTGGAAGGGTGTTATTCTTTACTATTTTTCTCTTGTTCCTCTTGCACTCTCAATGCATGTGATGGTGTGCTTGATGGTGTCTCTTTAGTGCCTTAAGATATTTTTACTTTTGTCATTCTGTTTTCTTCTTTGTTCCTCTGAGTCAGTGACTTCAAATGATCTGTCTCTGAGTTTACTTTTCTCTGTCTGATAAAAACTGCTGACAACTCTTCTAGTGAAAAGTTTTAGTTATTTTAGCTCTAGAATTTCCATTTGATTCTTTTTTCTCATGAATTCTACTTTATTCAACACAGCCTGCTACAGCAAAGAATAACAGTTCAGACCCATGTTGGCTTAACAGAGGCCATTTGGCTAGCTTACACCATTCATACCACCTCTTAAGAAGTTGAGAGTGTGGTAAAGAAACATGGCCAAGATTCACAGCCCTACCAGTCTTTATTTAATGAATGGTCACCCCTCTGAATAACCAGTCGTTCAGCTCCAGCACTTTTTGGTCTGATGCGGAGGACAGCATGGTAGGATGGAAGAACCACGTGAGCTAGGCAGCCCTGGAGAAGTGTAGACAGTCCTCATCTTCGAGCAAAACACCTAAGCTTCCTCCATTGTGAGAGGGATAAGGGTGACACATGTGGGCAAGTGGATCTCCACCCAGGGTGACATTCACAGAGGTCCTCCTGGCCAGGAAGTGGCAGAGATCTGGAGATTCAAGAAAGCTTGGCAGCCAGGGACTTGCATTCTTTTCACTGGCCATTTCCCCACAAACCATATCAAATAGAATCAGGGAACAGGAGCAGAGAATTCCAGCATCTTTAAGAGGCTAAAGAGTATGTCACAATCCTTTCTAGAAGTATGATCTTGGTACCTGTCTGGGCCTTAGCCAACCCATCCAAAGATGGTTTTTTTTTCTCTTTCCATTCCCATATCACAGAGCTAGCATGAAGCTTAAATTGATGTGTGAGAGTGCTTTGTAAAGTGCTGTCCAGTGTGAGCTGGACAAATCCTTTATTCAAGGAAGCAGCACAGGGTCCCGTTCTTTTCACTTCCAGGGGGTCCCTGCCATTCTTTCGCTCGGGACCTGCCTGTTAGGAGGGGCTGCCTACTTCAGTCCAATGGGAGCCAATGCAAGCTGGAGGGCTTAATATTTCACTTTTCTTCCTCTCTGGCCCTATGTCCCACACAGAATAGGGGGCTGAGGTGATAATAGAAGACTTCCGAGACCCCTCATTTCAAGACCCTTTATTTTGTTCGCTGGAAGACTGCTTTCTCTTGCTCATAGGTCTCTTTGGATCCAGGTCGCAGGCGATGAATCTCAGTGACGGCATCTCCTGCAGCCAAGCCCAGGTCCTTCACTAGGTAACAGGCTAGCGTGGTGCCAGTGCGACCGAAGCCCAGGGCACAGTGCGCTCCCACGGCCTCGCAGGCCGCGCGTTGGCCTGGTCCACTTCTGCACGAAGCGGTCCATCTGGTGGGGGTCGGCGGACAGAGGTCGGGGATGCGCAGGCAGTGCTGGGTGAGCTCGGGGAACCAGTCCCCATGCTGGGGGGGTGGCCGTGCTCCATCGGTGGCACCCGGCGCCGCACGCGTGCGCCAGCAGGAACTGGCAGTGGGTGGGGGAGGCGGCAGCGCCATCCCCGCCAGCCGGCCGGCCCGGAGCACCCAGGAGAAATGGCTCGGGGAGGCGGGCGCTCCATTTGATTCTTTTAAAAAAAGTTTCTAATTTCTTTGCTGATATATTCATGTTGTTCATGTATCATTTTCTGGATTTTTTCTCAAGTTCTGTATGTTCTCTGTTAGGTCATTGAGCATCTGTATGAAATAATCTTGAATTATTTTCCAATAGGTCTGCACTTTTGTAGGGTTAATCTCGGAGGGATTTTTTTAGGGTTAATTTCTAAAGGATTTTTTGTCCTTTGATTGGACCATGTTTTACTCTTTTTTTTTTGTATTCTTGTGATTTGTTGTTGAGTCTTCAAAGTGTTTGAAATAAATACTTTGGACTGGTTTCATAAAAACTTTTACCTCTCAGCTTTAGAGGTTCTAGGAACTCAAAACATTTTCTGAGGCTGTGGCCTCTCTTGCTTGAGCATGTTGCTTCAGAAGTCGCAGAATCTCTAAGCAATCTGTTACTTGTTCTTGGAAACCAGAGATCCTCCTATGCAGCCCTAATCTGCCTCCTCATCACCTCTGATTTCAGTGGTTTCCAAACAAGGGCCCATCAGCATGCTTAGTCAGGAGAGAAAGGTTCCAGTGCCTCAGGTATCCTCTGGACTCCACAGACTGTTGGTGTGTGGTCCACTCTATTATTTCTTGTCTTGGGAGAAAATCTCTGTTGTGGAAGATTTCCTCTCAGTTGTATTGCATTGAGCCAGATATTAGGAAAGGCACCAATAGGAGGAGAATAATAAAATTCAAAAGCAAAGGGAGGTTTGAAACAGTGTTTCAAGAAGACCTAGAAAAAGGTGCTACCTTTACAAATCTCTCTGCATAGGATAGAGATTTTTTTTTTTTTTTTTTTTGGGGTCCGGTTGTGGGGCCTGAACTCGGGGCCTGGGCGCTGTCCCTCAGCTCTTCAGCTCAAGGCTAGCGCTCTACCACTTGAGCCACAGCGCCACTTCCGGCTTTTTCTGCTTATGTGATGCTGAGGAATTGAACCCAGGGCCTCAGGCATGCAAGGCAAGCGCTCTACCACTGAGCCACCTTCCCAGCCCAAGGATAGAGAGTCTTAAGAATTATAACAAGACTAAAATACAAGCAGTCTTCACTTAGGTATAGAATTGATTTACAAATCAAGGGACACATGCTCAATTAGGAACCAATCAAGTGTTTCAACAAGGGTGAGAAAATTGAATTTGAAGAAACAAAGGGACAAGGTGTTTAATAACTGTTTGAACTATTTTTGTTTGTCCCCACTGCACAAATGTTTTGAATCAATTTAGGTTGCTCTGACTGGCTTTCCACACAGTTGCTAGAGGCCATTGCAAGAGGACATCAGTACACAGTATATCTTCTGAGACACCAAATCAGCAGAAGTCCCAGGATTGGAAAATGTTGAAACCTGAATTCTTGTAAGCACTTTTGTTTAAATCTAAACAGTGTTCTTCATTTCAGAGTTAAAGATGGCCCCTTGGAACTAAAAAGCCTTTTACCAAGCTTTCAAACCCATCCTGAATAGATTGATGGGGAGGCCCACAGATGGAGTATGCTACTGGAAGGAAGAACATCACAACCTTAGCTGAAGGGTGTGGTGAAGGACGTGGTAGTTTGCCCCTGAAATCCCAGTGCTGAGGAGGTGAAGGCAGAAGGTTCTGAGCTAGCCTGGGCTACATAGCCAAATTGTCTCAAAACTCGAAACTCAAAACAGAAAGAACAACATAACCAGAAAGTGGCAGACAAAATCAGATAAAGAAATGCCAATGGTAAATGCTAGAAATGCCAGATATGTATATACTTTCTATAGGTTCATGGAGAAATCTCAATTATCCAAAGTTTCAAAGAAATGTATTATAAGTGGTCAAGTTCAGGAAAGCTTTGGTTAACCATGGCTCAGGAAAGGAGTAGAAAAGTGAAAACTGACAGTAGGTACTAAGCATAGCACCTGGTAAGTAGTCAACAGTCACAGTCTTTTTTCCTACTTTTACCTCCTGGATCAGCTGAGTGGCTCTCTCCTTTATGCACAATCACTGAGCAGGGAGGAAGTACTAGACTCGGCCTCATACACCAGCGGAGGAAGGCTCATGGGAACATACCTGGTCTCCATAAACATAAAGAAAGTGGCTTCGGGGATGAAACACCATCCCAAGAGGGTTAGAGAATGAGGCAGGAAAGTGGAAAGGAGGAAATTTGGTTTGGAGACTTGGTTGTGAATCCTGTAGAACATTCACAGTAACCATGGTACGTTTGGTAGCCTAGGAGAAAAATAAAACAAGCATAAAGAGTGATGAGTACTTTTCCACGATCACTATTACAATTTTTAGATGTTCCTGTCACTTGGATTTCATATAGCACTAAACGGAAGGATTAGTAAACTCTGATGTTTCTGTATTCTCCTCTCCTGCCTATTTGATAGATATTGAATAAAGTTCGGGAGACAAAATAATTGGCTCAAAGTTTTATAATAAATGGCACAGAGAGGTTTATTGTAGAGTCATTATTGAACTTTACAGACAGCCTGCAATGTCAACACATATAACTATGTGCTCAAAGTGTGAATGTCTGAGCCATATTCCATTCTAGGTAACCAAGGTCTTAAGACATACTACTTTGATGTAAAGATAATTTTAAGCTGAAACATTTGATTCAACTGAGGCAGAAAAGAAACGAAAAGAGGCAAAATTCTCAGAGCTTTCCTGATCTGACTAAAACCCAAGAACTTCTAGGAAGAGAAACTACCATCTGCTTCATACCAGAATGGCTCTAACCCTAGAAATGAGAAAGCAAACAGTCCCTTCTCCAGCTAAATATTAAGGTTTTCAGGAAGGTACTTGCTTGGGCAAATATTTATCTTCCTGTCTCTCATTTGTGGACCTGAAAACCTAGTTATCTGTTAAGAAGGAAGGAAAGAAGGAAATGGAAGGGAGGGAGGGAGGGAGGGAGGGAGGGAGGGAGGGAGGGAACGTAATTTGTTTCCCCCAAACAAATCAACCAGTTAAATTTCAAAAATGTTCATTCAATCCAGACACTGGTGGCTTATACCTATAATCCTAGATACTCAGAGGCTGAGATCTAACAATCATAGTTCAAAGCCAGCCCAGGCAGGAAGTCCATGAGATTCTCATCTCCAGTTAACCACCAGAAAACCAGAAGTGGAGATTTGGCTCAAAGTGGCAGAGCACTAGCCTTGAGCAAAAGAGCTCAGGAACAGTGGCCAGGTTCTAAATTCAAGCCCCATGACTAACAACAAAACAGTTGATTCAACTTACAATTAACTTTAAACCAAAGTGATCCATTTTGGATATTATTTCTTTTCCTATCACCATTAAGGTCATCTCCCAAGTTTTTTTTTTTTTTTTTCCAGTCATGAGGCCTGAACTCGGCTTGGGCGCTATCCCTCAGCTCTTCAGCTCAAGGCTAGTGCTCTACCTCTTGCGCCACAGCACCACTTCCAGCTTTTTCTGCTTATATGGTGCTGAGGAATTGAACCCAGGGCCTCATGCATCCAAGGCAAGCACTCTACCACTGAGCTATCTTCCCAGCCCCGATCTCCCAACTTTAACCACCATTATTATAGACTTTATCCCATAAAGACGCACAATGCCTATATAAATGCAAGATTTTCTTTTCTCCTACTACTCTTTTATTATTTTAATTTTCAAGGCCTTGTTATTGAAGACAAGTAAAAGATTTTCTCTTCTACAGTCTAAAGGGCAGGAACAGACTTAGGTATTTTCTTATGATGCTGAGAAGAATTCTACTTCATAACTCTTGTTAAATACCTTTAGAATGGAAACTATAGACATGCAACAATGGGTTATTTTGTGTGTGCATGTGGGTTGCATGCCCATCTTTACTAGCCATGGAACCTGAAATTTATATGAAAAATGTTGAGCTTATGTCTTTCTGAAGAATTAGCAAAGCACAACCAGTATCACAGGGTTTTTTGTTTTTGTTTTTGAGTACTGAAAATTGATCTCAGGGCCCTATGCTTGCTTGGCAAGTATACTACCCTTTGAGCCATACCACCTTCTTACTTCCTTCTTTTTTTTTTTTTTTTCTGGTCGGCCGTGGGGCTTGAACTCTGGGCCTGGGCGCTGTCCCTCAGCTCTTCAGCTCAAGGCGAGCGCTCTACCACTTGAGCTACAGCGCCACTTCCGGTTTTCTGGTGGTTTATTGGAGATAGGAGTCTCACGGTCTTTCCTGCCCGGGCTGGCTTTGAACCGCGATTCTCAGATCTCAGCCTCCTGAGTAGCTAGGATTACAGGCGTGAGCCACCAGCGTCCGGCTCTTACTTCCTTCTTACTTAGGTTAGTTTTCAGGCAGGGTCTTGCATTTTTGTCCTGAATTGACTTCAGAACTGCAATCCTCCTATCTATACTTCTCACACAGTTGTGATTAGAAATGGAAATCACTGTACCCAGCTTATTTGTTGAGGTGGGGTCTCCTTAAATTTGTTGCTGGCCCTTGAACTGTGACCCTTCCAATTTGGGCCTCCCAACGTTTGATAATTGATATGACTTACTTTGCCTGGGCTTGATTTTGACTTTTGTCAAACTAAATGACAATTAAAGGTAAGAAATTTCTTGTGTCAAATAATACTATTTATCAGAATATAATTTTGCGATTGCCAATTTTGATCAGGCTGTATTGCCAAACATAATGAGAATGTGAAAATACATTTGCAAGAATGATCACCTGTAGGTTATAAGACATACCATATCACTGAAGAGGTAAACACCAGTATTTTGCTCTGGATCAACAAGAAATGTTATCACCTTTGGCAAAGATTTTACACTTTTGGAATTATATGGTATGCAAGGCATCCAATTAAGGAATGGTTCTTGACTATAAAAACAAGAGCTTGACTACAAAAAAAGAGAGAAAGGACAAGTTAATTCTGTCTTTGAAATTTAAGTCCTAATTTGTTATCATAGGAAAATCATAAATCACTGAGATATCATGATGGTGACGAGGCATATTTAAAAAATCTTTACAGTCGTGACTTGCTTCTGGGGAAATCAGTCTAGGAAAAAACCCTGCAAAACATTGCCTTCTGGTCTTTATTGTCTGTGTGGAGTCAGTGTGGAGATCTCAATTTATCATAATTAGAGCAACTGCCATTATACCTAAACAGAGACACCATTGGAAAAGCAGATCAGGAAACTTCTCAGCAGATAGATTTGCCATGGTTGTAATTGTAGTTGTTGTTGTGCCAGTCCTGGGGATTGAACTCAGGGCCTGAGTGTCTTTTAAAATAATTTTTAAAGTTGTTATTATAAAGGTGATGTACAGAGGGTTTACAGTTTTATAAGTCAAGTAAAGAGTACCTTTTTTTTTTTTGGACAATGTCACCTCTTCCTTCATTCTCTCCCAATTTTTCCTTCCCATCACCACCCATAAGTTCTATAGTTCATTTTCAACATAGTCTCTAGCGAGTACCACTGCTACATTTGTTTATCCTTTGTACCTCCATTTCTGTGCTTCCCCTTACTCCTCCAAGACAGATAAATGAACAAACAAGATAAAAACAAAATAGCAACAAAGAAAAAAACCCTCTTGTTTCCATTTCCTGGAGTTCATTTCGATAAATATTATTTTTATCATCAGATGCCCAGAGGCATTGTACCTTTGTGTTCCTCTCCTAAGAGTATCATACTTTAGTCTCACTGTGTGTGAATGCCTAGAGACCTGTATCTTTATCATGTCCTGGTATATTCTAGATCTGGTTTCCACATATAAGAGAAAACATGGGTCATTTGTCTCTCTGAGCTTGGCTTATCTCACTTAACATGATTTGTTCTAGGTCCATCCATTTCCCTGCAAATGACATAATATTATTCTTTCTGATGGCTGTGTAAAATTCCATTGTGTATATTTTTTGGATCCACTCATCATCTATTGTAGGGCATTTGGGCTATTTCCACATGTACAAGTGTCTTTATGGTATTGTGACTTGTGATGTTCTAGGTAGATGCCCAGGAGTCGTATGGCTGGATCCTAGGGAAGATCTATGTTTGTTTGTTTGTTTTTATGGTCATGGGGCTTGAACTCAGGGCTTAGGTACTGTCCCTGAGGTTTTAGTGCTCAAGGGTTAGCATTCTACCATTTTGAGCCACAGCGCCAGTTCTGTTTTTCTGGTGGTTAATTGTAGATAAGAGTCTCACAGATTTTCCTGCCTGGGGTTGACTTCAAACTGTGATCCTTAGATCTCAGACTCCTGAGTAACTAGGATTACAGTCATGAGCCACTGGCACCCAGCTATGTTTCTTTTGAGGAAATCAAGACTGCTGTCCAGAGTGGTTGTACTAATTTACATTCCCAACAACTTTTCAATAGGGTTCCTTTTATCCCTTAACTTTTGTGCTCATGGCTAGCACTCTACCACATGAGCCACAGCTCTACTTCCTGCTTGGATTTTTAAAAATTTAATAACAAGTCTTAAAGTCATGAATAACAAAAATTTCTCACCTTTTAAGATTCAATATCTTACCTCACTTAGAGTCCTATTCCTGTCAAAGGTGATAGTAACATAGTCAACTATAATACAGAAAGACACAGATATTATGAGCAACCCTGATATTTCTATGATTAGAAGGATAGTACTATGAAAACAGTTTCTATCAAAATGACTGGAAGCTATATGTCATCAATTAGTGTATATGAACACACCTTTTCTTTGTGGCTATTTGTGCCTATTATCTCAAATTTTAAAAACTTTCCCCTTATTTTTATACTATCGATTTATATAAAATATATTTGCTGTTATATTTTATCCTATTTTTGTTGCATACCATTTCTTTTTTTTTATTCTGAAAATACTGTACAGAGGGGTTACAATTACATGGGCAAGGTAATGAGTGCATTTCTTATCAAGCATTGTTGCTTCCTCCTTTGTTTCCCCTTCCCATCCCTTCCCATCTCCCCCCCCCACCATTTCATTTAATGATATAGATTATGTATATTGACAAAAATTTGTTAATACTTCTTTAACTTCAAATTTACCTTCAAAACGTTCTCTATTAGCAAAACATCTTTCATTGTACCACAACCTTCCCTTGACATAGTCAACCTGTGTAAATAAGTAAATGAAAATATTATTTAGGGAACATGTAGATTTAAGATTTTTTTAAAGTATACTAAAAATTTCCAAGGTTTGGGAGCTCAAAGATGTAAGGCAGGACAGAAATTTGCATGTAAAGAAAATCAAAGGTGGAGCTCTCGGTTAGTGGCGCAATCGGTTAGCACGCGCGGTACTTGTAAGAAAATCAAAGGTTTATAACAACAGAAAACCCACATCCCTTCAAACCAAATATTATAGAAAGATGACAAGAGTCTAGAAGACAAGTTTTGAATAAGAGAATGCAGAGAGTAGAATTGTACATAAATGAACACGTCAATTGAAAAATGTCTCACTAATGAACTTTTTTTTTTTTTTGAGTCAGTTGTGGGGCTTGAACTCTGGGCCTGGGCGCTGTCCCTCAGCTCTTCAGCTCAAGGCTAGCGCTCTATCACTTGAGCCATATGCCACTTCCAGTTTTCTGGTGGTTTATTGGAGATAAGAGTCTCACGGACTTTTCCTGCCTGGGCTCACTTTGAACCGTGATCCTCAGATCTTAGCCTCCTGAGTAGCTAGGATTACAGGTATGAGCCACCGGTGCCCGGCATTAGTGAACTTTTTGAATTGATCAGAGGCCCCAAATTTGAGTTGGAAGGACTCCCTGGTGAAGCACTGGTGCAAGTCAGATCAAAAGCTGATGAACCTGCAGTCTGATGCCTATACAAAATGGAAGGAACAAGAAGAGCACCTGTTCAAGAAGGGCTTAGCTCAGTATGGGCACCTTCAAGCTTCTTTCCACTTTTTTGTTTCACCTGGTCTCTCAGCCCACTAGATGGAGCTATACACCTTCAAGGTGGATCATCCCCATTCTGTTGCCCTACATGCCAACTGTCTCTGGAAACATTATCAAAGGCAAATCCAGAAGTGTGTGTTAACCAATTTTGCAGCCATCTCTCAATCATGGCATGTTGACAACCAAGACAAAGCCCCATCTCTAATTTCAGATTCAGGATTTTTATTTATTTATTTATTTTTAGGATTTTTTTTGGTTGATCATGGAGCTTGAACTCTGGGCCTGGGTGCTGTTCCTCAGCTTTTCAGTTCAAGGCTAGCTCCCTACTACTTGAGCCACAGTGCCACTTCCAGCCTTTTCTGCTTATGTGGTGCTGAGGAATTGAACTCAGGGCCTCATGCATCCAAGGCAAGCACTCTACTACTGAGCCACCTTCCCAGCCCTTGTAGTTTTTTTTTTTAATCCATCCAGTCTGGTACCTGTGTTGGTTCATGCTTGTAATCCTAGCTATTCAGGAGGCTGAAATCTGAGGATCGCTGTTGGAGGCCATTTCAGGCAGGGAAGTTCTTGATACTCTTATCTCCAATTCATCACAGAAAAAGCTGGAAGTGGAGCTGTGGCTCAATTGGTAGAGACCTTGCCTTGAGCAAAAAGGAACTCAGGGACAATGCCCAGGCTCAGAGTTCAAGTCCCAGGACTGGCAAAAAAAATTTTTTTTTCTAATAACTCTGTTCTTCACCTGTGTACCTTCTGGAGCTCTTTCCCAGAGGTTCAGCATTGTTCTTGTGGTTTCTAGCTACGGTCCCTAAATAGTTTCAGAAGTTTCCTTATCTTGGTCTTCCTTGGTGGTAATCTGTATCTAAACAGTAGTGATTCTGGCCTTCAATTTATTACATTTTTATTTGCTATTTTGGTATTTAGTCTAAGAAAACATTTTTTCTGCTAAACTTGGAACTCTTATGGATGTTGGTTGTCTTTTTTTTCCTTGCTAATGTCACAGTGCCAATGACACTAACTACAGCAGGTGTTTATTACATCCTGACTGTGATGTTCACATACTATGATTTTCTTACTAAATTTCATTGCTCCCATTCAGCTGTCTCCTGTTCTATCAGCATTCTAGAACACATTCTGCCCCTAAGGAGCTTACTCTGTCAGGAAGCCCAGCTACCTTGGCCATGCTTTAAAGGGAAGATTCAGGCATGGGTTTGGAGTAGCTCAAACTGTGGCAATGCTGAAAGGAAAGACGACCATGTGCTCTCCACCCCTGGAGGATGCCATTCCTTTTGCTCAGCCTTCTAGTGGACTTCTCTTCAGTCCTCCTCTCAGCCATACTGCAGAGGCTGAGAAACATCTCTGGTAGCTCCTGAGCTCTGCAAGCCCAGTGCGCTGCAGGATCCTCCACCTCTGGATCTTCTGCTGCCCTGAGCTGAAAAATGCCTTGTTCTCAATGTTGCTGGCCATTTTCTGTTGCTATAACACAACACCGGAAGCTGAGCAAGTAGTTGTTACTTGCTGTGCTGCCCTGGGAACAGTCACAAGACTATCATCTGTTTGTGTTCATTTCATGTGAATTTTTCCCCTAATATTTTTTATTCATGGGTGGTTGAATCTACAGATTAGAGGCTGAAGACAGAGAAGCCCACTATGTTGCTGTCAGTTCTTTTGAATATAAATCAGTTTTGCCTGTCTGCTTTTCCCAGTTCTTCTGTTCACTTTTCTCCCACTAGCAGGACAGCCAGTCAGTTTCTAGGAAATATCTATTTCTGTGGATGAAAGCAAGGGGACAAGCCATAGGCTACTCACAATTTTGTTTATAGTTTCCAAATCCTGATGATGTGTTGATGGGAATCTTAGCTGAACCACAAAACTTAACTTTCAGTGACAGAAGAAGAAAATTTCTCCAAAATCTCCACCAGGGGGCAGAGATGTTGCTAGAGTGGAAGACATTTTTTGTGTCTCTTTCTCCAAGTAGGCACAGATGAGTACCAGGGTAGGTAGGTTGGGAAGAAATTGACCACATTCCAGGCACCACTCTACTTAGCTGGGTACCTTGTGCAGAACATGACTTGAACAACCATAACAGCCTGGACAAAATATACAGTCATAGACAAGGGTGGTTTCTGAAATGAGAATGAACACCTTTTCCTTGAAACAGAACTGCCTGGTGTTGCTGGACACTATTTTTAGTTCAAATTGTAAATGATACTGCAGTAGCAGGAATAACCTGTATGAGAACTATTGTATTTACAGCTCATCATATCTCCATTTTCACTCAAGGGTGGTGCTGACCACTTGAGCCACAGCTCCATTTTTTTTTTTTTTACTTTTTGGTGATTAATTGGAGATAAAGTCTCATGTACTTTTCTGCCCAGGATGGCTTCAAACCAGATCCTCAGATCTCAGACTCCTGAGTAGCTAGGAGTATGAGCTACCATTGCCTGGCTGTATACATATCTTTCAACCAACACTTGAAAATGAAAAGCTTCTTACCCTTTCAAAGCCACAAAAGTCTGCCCTAAAGAGCTAGAAGGGGAAAAAAAAAAGAAATTTAAACTGTTGCTTGCATATTGTATATAAAAAACATAACAATTTGAATTATACCTGAGAAAATGTAGTTTTTCTATTCTAGCAGTTAAGATGGTCAAACCTTAAAGACAGCCTTTTACACAATTTACACAATATCCAGAAGATTTCCCTTTTAGTCTTTGATTTCATCATTTTACCAATTTATTTATACTTTATGAAATTCCAGAAAAGATCAAGATTAAAAAAGAAGCAAAAACATGCTTTTTTTTTTTTTTTTTTTTCATATTGTAGAGGTTGGGATGGACCCAGGGCCTTGTGGAAAGCCTTATCTTTTAATGGTTTAAAGGGAGGAGTTAAGAGGCATGCAGGGAGACAGTGAGTCTGCCACCAACTTTGGTTTATAACTTTAACGTTTATTATTTTCTCTTCCCAACTGGTTTCTTCTTCCAAGCCTACAGCAGTCAGAATTCAGGACTCAGGACTTAAGCTCTAACTAACTCAGTGCCTTCAACTGAAGCCACAGTGGCTGTTCTTTCATCTTCAACTCACTGTTTTACCAGGCTAGATCTATTATCTAAGCAACTAATGGCAGGTCTTCAGAGAGGCTATGAATATTTATACACCTGAATAAAGACAATAGTACCCTGTGTATAAATAATATCTGCTTCTCAATCAGTATACTTGCCTCTGCTTTATTTCCTGTTAGCTTTCCTCTGCTCCTGAATTTTGATTCCTTGTCTTTTATCTGTTGTGATAATTTTGAGGGAGGTATTTATCAACATGTTTAAGAATTCCATTGTATCGGATATTTTTTTTTTTTTTTTGTCTTTTCTTTTTCTGTATTAGGAACTGAACCCAGGACATTGCAATTGCTAGGAAAACTCTTTGCCACTGAGCTACATCCCAGCGATTGCATAGTTTTATCTAAACACATTATGTGCTTTTCAATCTCAACAACTTATATTTTATTTCCTACATTCTCCTGCCTGAGAAATCTCACTAGTCTTCTCTGAGGATATGCCCTGTAGAACAGACTCATCTTCATTTTTCCTTAAAATTTCCTAATTTCTAAAATTTCCTAAAATTTCTTGGCAGGACAATTTTGAGTTGTCCTACACAGAGGTTCCCAGCAGGAGGGAGCCCCAGATGTCTGCAGGCATTTTGTGGTTGTTGTTCTAACTTTACTTGACATATAGTAATTGTACATGAGTATGGGGTTTAGCATGCTACTTCAATATTTGTATTCAAGGTATAAGGATCCTCTCAGGGTAACTGGCAAATCTCAGAGAACGCTAACTTTAATGAATTTAGCTTTATAAATTATGTTATAGCCTCTGAGGCACATATAGAGCTATAAAGAAATAAACTAGGCCCTGATGGCTCATGCCTATAATCCTAGCTACTCAGGAGGCTGAAATCCTAGGATTGTAGTTCAAAGCCAGTTTGGACAGGAAACTCAATCAGACTCTTATTTCCAATTGATCATCAAAAAGCTGGAAGTGGAGGTTTTGTTCAAAGAAGAGAGCATCAGCCTTGGGCAAAAATGCCAAGCAAGTGTGTAAGGCCCTGAGTTCAAGCCCCAGTACTGGAAAAAGAAAAAAAAAATAGATAACATCTTTTCTACATATATTTAAATCTTACTATAAGTGCATACAGAAATAAAACTAACACCATTTCAAAATTGTGCATTCAATATTATGAAGGAAAGGGAAAAGCAGCTATACTATGCTTTTACATTTTTTATTTTTTGTCAGTTATGGGGCTTAATTCTGGGCCTGGGTGCTATCCCTTAGCTCTTCAGCTCAAGGCTAGTGCTCTACCACTTGAACCACAGCACCACTTCTGGTTTTCTGGTGATTAATTGGAGATAAGAGTCTCACAGACTTTCCTGTCCTGGCTGGCTTTGAACTGTGAGCCTCAGATCTCAGCCACCTGAGTAGCTATGATTACAGACATGAGCCACCAGCTCCTGGCTGCTTTTACATTTTTTAAAAGAAGGAAGTATCTCAATTCTAAGATTATACCATGCTTTATTCAAAAGCCAAATACTTCTTTTTATATTGCAGAAGACATTTAAGGGTAGCAATTATTCACAGAGGTTTTCATACCTTTATTATCTGATTGCTTGGATGGAGCAGATCTTCACTTACATAAAGACCCAAAGAGGTGAGCATAACTAAATAATGATTTGCTAAGACCATGTCTATCAGTGTAAGCTCTGCATGTTCTACAGAAAGAAATCAAATCATACCATGGGTTAAAAAGAAAAGAAAAAGCAGGCATTTAATAGACACTTCATCAATATTGATCAAATGTAGCTGTAAGGGAAATGCTGAATAATGAAAGCACCCAGAGAAGTTACCTTCCTGAAGTTGTGAATACATGATACTGGTCAAATCATACCATGTGGTATCATTGTAATTCCAGAATCCAGAGAAGGTAACGCCGATAAAAACACCTACAGGGAAGAAAAAGGCCATGAGAGTGAGAAAATGCCTGGCTAGACTACTGTGATTTAAGGATTATTTGAGTGTCAATAGATGTAGGCTCTGTCCTCCTGGATGAAGAAAAAGATACCAAAACAACATCATATCAACAGATCGTACTAAGACAACCTGGTCATTCATTCATTTCCTCACCTTATTTCCTCATTACTTCCTCACAGCTTACTATTCTTAGGAGTTCAAATGCCTTTCCTGCATTAAAATGATGTGATGTGTAAACTCTGAGTTCAATCACTTGAATTTCACTTTTTTTTTCCTGTGAGCTCCTGGTCAAGTTAATATTAATAAAGGCATATGCTTTTTCTCCACTCAATTTTTCTTGTCAATTTAATTTGCAGATATTGAATAGTAGAGGAAATATTTTTCTCCCTGACAATATACTTCTAAGCAAAAAATAATAAGCACAGTGTTTGTTCTTAGTCCAAAAGGGCTGTTTTGATCAACAATAAATGAATTCGGGCTGAGAAGGTGGCTCAGTGGTAGAGCGCTTGCCTTGCATGCATGAGGCCCTGGGTTCGATTCCTCAGCACCACGTAAGCAGAAAGAAAAAAGCCAGAAGTGGCGCTCTGGCTCAAGTGGTAGAGCGCTAGCCTTGAGCTAAAGAGCTGAGGGACAGCGCCCAGGCCCAGAGTTCAGGCCCCCTGATTGGACCCAAAAAACAAACAAACAAAAAAACAACAATAAATGAATTTAAAGGAGGGAAAAGAGAGGGGGGAAAACTGTGATTAACTTCAATATTTGTGATTTTCAAAAATAGAAAAAAAATAACTAAAGCCTCATGAGACCCTCTTAAGAGGGAAAGTACATTACCCCATGGCCCCACCTTTCCTTGGCCATAGCTGGGAATTGTATTCATAAACTGCTTTGTTAAATGGCAACTCTTCTGTACAGCTACTTAAAGATAATAAGTATATATGGAATGCTAATATGAACTTTTGTGATTGGGAGTAGGGTTTATGGGTGCTGAAGACACTTGAATATGTATAGTTTGTTTCTGTAAGGTGAATGTAGGACAAATCATATTTTGAAGTGTGTCTTTTTTTTTTTTTTATCAGTTGTGGGGCCTGAACTCTGGGCCTAGGCACTGTCCCTCAGCTCTTCAGCTGAAGGCTAGTGCTCTACCACTTGAGCTTCAGCACCACTTCCGGCTTTTTCTGCTTATGTGGTGCTGAGGAATCGAACCCAGGGCCTCAGGCATGCAAGGCAAGCACTCTACCACTGAGCTACCTTCCCAGCCCCTGAAGTGTGTCTTTTTAACTCCCAGTTCTTTTCCAGGAAGAAGAAAGCTAAAGATAGGCTTCATTCTTCTAAACATAAAGTTGAGTTTTATAGGTACATGGGAATGAGCAGGTATATCCAGCATGGTAGCAGATGATCAGACTCCTGTGAAGTTTTCAAATATTTAATAGTATAATAAGCAAGAAAATGAACACTTTATGTTGGTTAATATTTTTAGCAGTTAATCACCTTATGACAAACTGTCTAAAATTGTATTTTGGGGCTGTTGAAGTTGATGTAGACTAGACCATTGTGAGTTTGACTTTTTTTGTTGTTGTTGGTTGTGGGGTTTGAACTCTGGGCTTGGGCGCTGTCCCTGCACTCTTCAGTGTAAGACGAGTGCTCTACCACTTGAGCTATAACGCCACTTCCAGTTTTCTGGTGGTTTATGGGAGATAAGAGTTTCATAGACTTTCCTGCCCGGGCTGGCTTTGAACTGTGATCATCAGATCTCAGCCTACTCAGTAGCTAGGATTACAGGATGAGCCACTGGTGCCCGGCTAAGTTTGACTTTTAATGGGAAAAGGAAGCCACTGTTTGAATAAGGGAAGTGATATGACAGAATTTATACTTGAGAATATCACTCTGATGGTTCTGTGAAGGGTCTGTACTGGGTCAAGAATAGAAACAGAGAGAGCACTTAAGAGACTTGTCTAGCAGATAAGTAAGGTTGAGTTGTCACAAACTTTTAGAGGAAGGGAGATGTGGTCACACTGGGGTGGACATTGGAGAAAGCATCATTTTGGAATATTATGAGGCTAGCGTAGACAAGAGTATGTCCTACATTTAAGTGTCAACCAATTGGATGCTAATTGGTTGAACTAATTTTGAAAGGTGGTTTATTGTGATATATGAGACATCCATCGGCTATTAAGAGAAAATGAGGAGGCTGGGAGGATTGCTCAGTGGTAGAGTGTTTGCCTTGCATGCATGAGGCCCTGGGTTTGATTCCTTAGCACCACATGAGCAGAAAAAGCCAGAAGTGGTGCAGTGGTTCAAGTGGTAGAGTGCTAGCCTTGAGCTGAAGAGCTGAGGGACAGCACCTAGGCCCAGAGTTCAGGCCCCACGATGGACATACACAATAAAAGAGGAAATGAAAACTAAGCAACTAACACAGGAGCACTTGATTTTAAGGACCATCAGCAGCAGCAATGTACATTTGGGAATCATCAACCTGCAGATGTCCTACCTACTGCGCAGCTGGATTAAATCTTCCAGAGAGCACATGGTTACTCATGCAAGGAAGAAAAGGCAGGGACAAAGCCCTAGGTACATTAGCATGTAGAAGTCTCACTGAAGAGGAGTCAGTCTAGAGAGCTAAATTGTGATCAATGAAGAAATAGAAAAGCAATTGAAGGTAGTGTCTTGAAGAAGAGAAAGTGAGGACAAGGTGTCCACTTGCGTTAATGCTGCTGGGAGGAGGAGGACTTGGCTGGGGGAGATGGAGATGGAGATAGAGATGGAGAAGGAGAAGCCATGGGTGATCTTGAGAATTGTTCTGGGATACTGGTGGAAACATGTCTGATGTGCAGAAGGAAGATAAAAGGGATGATATAGCACCATCTCTTGACAAATTTCTCCCATAAACTTCATTGTGAAGAGAACAGAAAGCAAGGTAGGTTTTGTTGAACTGGGTAATATTGGCGCTTATTATCATTCAGATGGATTAGACAGAGGGAGAGTGCAATGGTTTGTTCAGAAGAGAAAGTCAGAAAATTGATTCTAGAGCTTTCTTTTTCTCCTCCTCCTCCTCCTCCTCTTCCTTCCCCCTCTCCTCCTCCTTCCCCCGCTTCTTCTTCTCCTCCTCCTTCCCTCCCCCCCTCATCTGTCATGGGGCTTGAACTCTGGGCCTGGGCATTGTCCCTGAGCTCTTCAGCTCAAGGCAAGAGCTCTACCACTTAAGCCACAGAACCACTTCCAGTTTTCTGGTGGTTTATTGGAGATAAGCGTCTCATGTACTTTCCTGTCCAGGCTGGCTTTGAACCATGATCCTCAGATTTCAGCCTTCTGAGTAGCTAGGATTATAGGCGTGAGACACCAGCACCCCGCTAGAGCTAACTTCTTTAGGTGGCTGAGAGAAATGGAACCTGGACTTAAGGAGTGAGGGGTACCCTTTGATAGCAGCAGAGGCACTTCTTACAACAAATACCACAGGGAAAAGGCAAATATTGCCAGTATGAATTTGACTATGAAGGTAGATTTGCAAGCAGGACAACGTAAGAGTTCCTGCAGTAAATATTTATTTTCTCTGTGAAGCACTAGATAAAGGTACTGCTGAGAGTGAGGGGAGAAAAGGGGATGCTCGGTGCTGCAGAAGTGGGACAAGGTGTGATAAGGTCACCTTGCAGAGCGGGAGAGCAAATGTACCAGGGAAGAGTGACTGGCAATCTAGGCAGTGCTCAGTACCTGCCTGAGTGGCAGGATCATGAATTTAAAGTGAGACCATCCAGTGGAATTTGAAGGTGAGACTACTGAGCAAATCCTTTCTAGCAATTCTGTGCTTCTCCAGTGTATGAGTATGGTAGTTTTAACTAGAACTGGGACTGTGTAGAAAAGAAGAGGGAATCTTGAATTTGTCTTTGGTGGGTACTTTTTATATATTGTTATTATAATCTGCACCCTTGTATCATTTTTATATCCATTCTAATTATATTTCTATAGCTCTTTTATATAAACAGATATATTATTAATGCATAATAAGTGTATTACTTTATTTGTAATATTTTTAAATATTTCTTTTGATCTTCATATTAATTGGAATTGATGACTACTAGGTCTACAATGACCTAGTTAAAATATTAATACTATTCACAGTTGAAATGTATATGGTAGTGCATTACTGTAGTATATAGTAAGAAATATGTACTTGATATTTTATCTCTGGTTCCTGACATAAAGTGTTTACATTGCTTGGAGTTTCCTGGGTCACAGGTTCTAATGAGGTGACTTTTGGTTGCTTCCTATTAAAATGGTGGCGGGTCATTAAAACCAAATCATAATTGAAAGCTTGAAATTTTCAGTCTCCCATGCCATCCTCCAGGAAGAGGAGCAAGGCTGGAGATTGAGAAAATGATTGATCAAGCTGATATGATAGAATCATTAAAAACATCTTTGAAGTGCTGGGTGCTTGTAGTGAAATAAGGATATTGTCTGGAAATAAGGATAGCCTGGACAGTGCTATCTTGGCCATGTGGTGGATGATAGGATGTAGAGTTTAACTTGTGCCATTCTGTCTTCAAGGTAGAGGCAGGGAAGCTCTACCTCCAAGTGATAGGCATGCTTGAATTTCTAGAGGTAGGGGTGAAGGCTTGGATGCTGGGTTACTGGACCTGTCAGTCCCGTGCTTAAGCTCTCAAGCTCCCTGTGATCTTGCCCTCCCACTGGACTCTATGTAAGCACAGATCAGCTCAGGTGCCATTATGCCATGCCTCTTGTCGAGTGTCTCCTGTCTCTCTTTCAGCCATCATGGCATCGCACTTCAGCTCTCCATTAGAGCTGATTTGGTTTGTTGGTATTGTTTTTCTGTTCTTTCTTTTCTCTCCTGCTCACATGGCTCAGTTTTCTGACAGTGTTAAGTATATTTGAGGGTCTGTGGGTCTTAGAGACAAGAGTCCATCTGTAGCCACTGCCTCTCCAATAAAGACTCTCAGTTTAGCCTCTCAAAATGTTGCTTCTGTGTTTCTCGCCATACAACAGTAGCTCATGCCTGTAATACTAGCTGCTCAGGAGGCTGAGATTTGATTACTGTCTCAAAGACAGTCTAGGCAGGAAAGTCCATGAGACATTTATCTTCAATTAACCACCAGAAACTTGAAGTGGAGTTGTGGCTCAATGTGGTAAGAGTGCTATGTAGCTCAAGAGCTAGATAGCCATCTAGTAGCTCAGGGACAAGCACCCAGGCCCTGCTGAGTTCAAGCTCCAGGACAAAAAATATTTGAAATACTAGAGAACATCGAGGTTAATGTATTTATCCATGCAGAGAGAGGGTGGTGATGCTAGACTCCATGGAGCAGAAGTTCCCAGGCTTGAGACCTGCGTGGACCTTGTTTTTGTACCTGTTCATCTCAAAGTTTATTTACTTCATTTGCAATGTCATTTATTTATTTATTTGTTTTTTGGTCCAGTCGTAGGGCCTGAACTCTGGGCCTGGACGCTGTCCCTCAGCTCTTCAGCTCAAGACTAGTGCTCTACCACTTGAGCCACAGTGCCACTCCCGGCTTTTTTTTTTTCTTTTTGCTTATGTGGTGCTGAGGAATTGAACCCAGCGCCTCAGGCATGCAAGGCAAGCACTCTACCACTGAGCCACCTTCCCAGCCCCAATGTCATTTATTTTTACAACAACAACAACAAAAGGCTGGTAAATGTAGGTGAGTGCTTCACTGTTGTAGCAAGAAGTGGGGAATGGGATCTGATCCATTTGATGTACAGCAGGTTGTTAATGAGTATGGGTCACAATCTGGAACCTGCAACTGGTTTCTGAGTCTTTAACCTGTGTGGGCCAGGGCCAACTCCTTGTAGTTAGTGCCAGACATGAATTAAAGCAGAGGATACTCCTGGGACATTCATGTGTATCTACTGAGAACTGGAGAATTGCTTGGTATGAAAAAATCCATACAGGGCTGAGAAGTTGGCTCGGTGGTAGAGCGCTTGTCTTGCATGCATGAGGCCCTGGGTTCGATTCCTCAGCACCACATAAGCAGAAAAAAAAAAAAGCTGGAAGTGGCGCTGTGGCTCAAGTGGTTGAGTGCTAGCCTTGAGCTGAAGAGCTGAGGGACAGCACCCAGGCCCAGAGGCCCAGAGTTCAGGCCCCACGACCAGACCAAAAAAAAAAAAAAAAAAAAAAAAAAGAAAGAAAAAATCCATACATTTGATGTCAGAAGTGTAAGTGGGAAAAAGAAAAGCAGTTGTCTTTTCTTCCATATGCTATTAGACATTACAGTTGCCATAGAACAATGCATCCTTACTAAATAATGTGGTGCTTCATGAATAATAATATCTATTTATATGGTACACAAATAACATATAGGTTAGAAACAATAAAGAATCTCTGAGCGTGGGGGGTGGTGGTGGGGGGAGATGGGAAGGGATGGGAAGGGGAAACAATGTTTGATAATAAATGTACTCATTTCCTTGTTCATGTAATTGTAACCCCTCTATACGGTATTTTCACAATAAAAAAACTAATTAAAAAAAAAAAGAATCTCTGGGAAGAAGTAACATGTTATTAAAGGGAAGACCAATAAAATGGAGAACTTAAGCCACTATTAGCAAGAAGCCATTGAACTTATTTGAAAAATTTCCTTACTACAACATACAAGTAGACAAGGGAAAGTGATAAGGAATACATTTGTAGACATTTTAGGACTCATTTTGACTCCATTTTGTCTATGCATTTAATTTGTACTGACAGCCTAGCATCATCTTAACAAATACAAGTTCTAGTTACTTCCAATATTCAGTAAGTCTGCCAACTTACCACTATATGTAGAATTCATAACAAAGCCAAGTAATGCTACATCATTGGCACAGGGGCACTTTGCCACTTTGAGATCCAGCACATGTGGATATAATAAGCTGAGCTGGTCTGGGGTCATTACATTTCCAAGATTCCACTGAAGAATAGGTTCTGTGGAAGTCAAATGCAGAAGTTTAAATTGTAGTTAATTCTTGAAAATGGAGCTTAACTACTTGCCTTTCACAGTACTTTAAAGAAACTAGGTAAAGAAACTATTTGATAGATTAAAAACTAGTGCAGTATGATCTCACTCATCAGTCAAGAATAGAGGAAAGTCTTATTTTCCAGAAGGAATGAAGTCTAATTCCCTCAAAGGGAGCTGGGAATGTCACATTGTGAAAGATCATGTCCATGAGAGATACTGCTCTGTTGAAAACAGAGCACGTGTTCAACTGCCACGTGTTGAAAACATCATTAGTCATAAGCTCTGTCCCTAGAAATGGAATTGTTGGACATAAGATATGCACATTTATAATTTTGAGAGCAGCTTATGCTTCAGCAGCTGACATTCACCTTTTCTTCTTTTCCACATCCCATTGAAAGAGCAGTAGATTTAAAAAATGAAGCTTTTGGTTAAGATCAAGTGTAATAACAGGGCACTGGTGCTCATGCCTATAATCCTAGCTACTAAAGAGCCTAAGATCTGAGGATTATGGTTCAAAGCCAGCCCAGGCAGGAAAGAAAGTCTGTGAGAGTCTTATCTCCAATAAACAGCCAGAAAACCAGAAGTGGCACTGTGGCTCAAATGGTAGAACACTGGCCTTGAGCTGAATCGCTGAGGGACAGCACCCAGGCCCAGAGTTCAAGCCCCACAACTGACCAAAAAAAAAAAAAAAGATCAAGTGTAGTATTTGTCCCTATCAGTTCAGTATCTGGTCCTTATTCAGTCTGCAGTGAGTATATTAAATGGATCTTTGGAGCAGGAGATAAATACCATTCCTCAATCTGGTATTGTAGTACCTGATATTGTAGTACATTCATCAATCTGGTATTGTAGTACCTCCAGGAAGGGTGCCCAAAAGAGGAAAAGAAGAGAGGGAATAAATCCAGAGTAGCAATGCAGATCAGGGGAAGTTATCATTGGTGGCTAAGAGATTTAGAAGCTTCTAGAAAACAGAAGTTGGGAGTAAACTAACAGGAAACATCAATCCAATGTCAGTTTTTCAGTAAAGCAAAGGTTGAGTAGAGGTACAGACTTGGAAAGGTCTATTATATGGCAAATAGCTGTCTGGGATCTACTATCTTTTAATTCTTCAGCTTTAACTTTTGCTAGACTATAGTTCAAGGGCCTTTGAATATTTGTTGTTTCTTTAATCCTTTCTTTCTGGTCTTCATTTGTATGTCATTCTTTCCAGGGAGCCTTCTAGGAACCCATAGAATGAGTGAGGCTCTCGTTGGGTGATCCAGTAGAGTCCTGACATTTACCTCGAATACTATCCAATAGAGTTCCTTCAGTAGTATAAATATTTAATCCTTGATGTAAAGAGATCCTCACTAGCCATTGTTCTGTAGCTGCAATATCTGGAAATAAGAGACAATTGGATATTTTTAAAAAGTCATGTTAATGAAATTTAAGGATTAGTGAACATTACCAGCAAGGATAACTTTTCCAACTATAGGTTTCCCACAAACATTGCAGTGATAAAATAATGACAAATAATTATGAAGAAATCTTATCATATCAATAAGTCTAGATAGTTTAGATCATAATTTTTTTCCCTAGAGATGCTGTGAGTTGCTAAAAGCAAATTAAGACCTTCTTGTAAAGTAGTGTAATGTTATTTAAAAGTACTCATCAATTAAAGTCCAGGATCTGATGGTTTCATTGTTGAATTTCTACCGCTATCCACTTAAAGGATAAGTAACATAACTTCTTCTTAAATTATTCAAAAAACTGAGGGGAAAATATTTCCAAACTTATTCTACAAGACCAGCATTATCCTGATACCAAAACCATACAAGGACCAACTAGAAATTAGTATGCTAGATAGAGAAGTAAGGATCTGTAACAAAGTACAAGAAAATTAAATTTTTAGCACATTAAAAACACTATGTGTTATAATTATGTGAGATTCATTCTGGATGCAAGGATGGTTCAATTGTAAGAAAACAGATAATCCAAATAAGATGTGGAAAAGATTCTAAACAGACATTTCTCAAGAGAAGACATAAAATAGAAAGCAGAGATATGAAGAAATTGTCAACATGACTAATCAGGAAAATGTAGATCAAAATCACAATGAAATACCTATTTATACCTGTTACAATGGATAGAAACACTAAGACAACAGGAAGTGTTAGAAAGGATTTGGATAAATGGAAATGTACATCAACGTAACTTTTTTTTTTGTGGTTGGGCCTGGGCCTGGGCACTATCCCTCAGCTCTTCAGCTCAAGGTTAGCGCACTCTACTACTTGAGCCACAGTGCCACTTCTGGTTTTCTGAGTGGTTTATTGCAAGCATGAAATCCCAAGTTCAATTCCCAGTATTACCAAAAATAAACAGAAAATAAAATAACAATAAATAAAAGGCAACAAAATGGGAGAAAATATTTACAAATTATATATCTTGCATTTGAAGCTAGAATATATAACAAATTTACAAAAATTGCATCATTTACCATACTAAATGGTAAATATACACACAAAAAGTTATCAATGTAATTAATTTACCAGGAAAACATAAATTAAAGCACAAGTAGCCAGGTGCCTGTGGCTCATGCCTTTAATCCTAGTTACTCAGGAGACTGAAATCATGTTTTAAAGCCAGCCTAGGCACGAAAGTCCTCAAGACTCTTATCTCCAGTAATCTCCTCAGAAAAAAGCCTGAAGTGGTGCTATGGCTCAAATGGTAGAGTGCTAGCCTTGAGAAAAAGAAGCTCAGGAGGGGATGGGGTAGGGAGGATGGGAAGGGATGGGAAGGGGAAACAAAGGAGGAGGCTACAATGCTAGATAAGAAATGTACTCATTATCTTGACCATGTAATTGTAACCCCTCTGTACAGTATTTTCACAATTAAAAAAAAAAAAGAAATGGGACAATCTAAAACCCCAACTATTACAAAAAAAAAAAGAAGCTCAGGAACAGAGCCCAGGCCCAGAGTTCAAGCCCCAGGACTGGTCAAAAAATAAAAACAAACCAAAACCAAAAAACCACAAGTAGATTCTATATATATCTTATTAGATAATACTCCATACTATCTAGTGGTGGTTTCACTCATAATAGCTCCAACTTAGGAAAACTCAAATGCTCTTTAATGAAATTACCTATGGCAAAGCCATATAAAATAATACTACTTAAGTAAGAAAATGGGAGAAACTACAACATAGGTAGATCTGCAATGAATTAGGGCAACTGAAAGAAACCAGATTCAAAGGCTGCATATTTTATGATTCCATTTATATAACTCTAGAATAGGCTGCACAATAGGAGAAAACAGATTAGTGATGATGGGAGCTGGGAGACTGAGTTCTCACAAATAGATGTAATTATGAATTATATGTTTCTATACAAAACAATTTCCATCACTCAAAATCACCCCATTTGTAGTCAAATTTGTCACTTTCTCTGAAGGAGAGCAGCACCCATAACACTGCAAGTATGACTGTAGTGACTCCACAATTATATTTACTTCTGAGACCTCAGAACTGGACACTACTGTAGGATATATTTTAATAAGCATAAATTATGCCTTATTTTCAAAAAGAAAAAAATAAAATTATACCCTATAAATCAAGGAGAGGCTACTTTTTCTTTTTTTTACTGTCAATGGGTATATGAAAATAAAAATTTTAAATTAAAGTTTGTAACTGGGCAACAGCAAGGGAAGAGGTGCTCCAAAAAGAAATGTACTCATTAGGTGAAGAGGTGTTCTAGGAATTTGGAATTGGACTGACCACTAGGAAAAATATGAAATAATGCAAAGGTTTGCCAGTCTGCATAAAAGATAAATACTGATTTATAGAAAATACAGATAAAACTATAACCCCTCTGTATATCACCTTTATCATAACAATAAAAATTTAACAAAAAAGAACATATAGATAAAAGAGTCAGGGAGAAAGTTACACTTTGGGTTCTTGATAGCTTTCTATTTCTTCTTTCTTTCTCTCTCTCTCTCTGTCTTTCTTTCTCTCTTTCTTTCTCCCCCCTCCTCTCTTTTTGTTGGTCATGGGGCTTGAACTCTGGGCCTGGGTGCTGTCCCTCAGCTCTTCAGCTCAAGGCGAGCGCTCTACCACTTGAGCTACAGCGCCACTTCCAGTTTTCTGGTGGTTTATTGGAGATAGGAGTCTCACGGTCTCTCCTGCCCGGGCTGGCTTTGAACCACGATCCTCAGATCTCAGCCTCCTGAGTAGCTAGGATTACAGGCGTGAGCCACCAGCACCCGGCTACTGAAGGTATTTTGTTTGTTTCTTGTCTATACCCTACTAAAGCAACAAAAATTCTCCTTTTTTAAAATTGTCTAGGTGATGTGCAGAGGTGTTACAGTTATATAAGTAAGGTAATAAGTACATTTATTGTTGAACTTGCTACCCCCTCCCTCATTTTTCTCCTACTTTCCCTCTCTCCCCCAATTCCATCCCCCTCCTGAAGTTGGACAGGTCATTTCCAGCATTTTGTCTTGTGAGTATTGCTGTTGCTTGGGTTCCCCCCTTGTCCTTTATCTTACCTTCTGTTCTTCCCTTCTCCTTCCCCAATTAAGATAAATGTATTTTAGTAGTAATGGAGCTGGAACTCAGGGGCTCAGGCTCTTGCTTAGCTTTTTCGCTCAAGGCCATTTCTCCACCACTTGAGCCACATCTCCACTTCCCACATTTTGGTGGTTAACTGGAGATAAGAGTCTTCTAGACTTTTCCACCAGAGGTGGTTTCAAACTGTGATCCACAGATCTCATCCTCTTGAAGAGCTAGGATTATAAGCCTAAGCCACTGGTGCATTCCTTCCATCATTCTTCACTTATGAAATATATTTCATGCCTACCATTAATAACTTGGTCTACTAGTTTAAAACTCATAATTACTATAACTACTATAATTGGAGTTTCTCCTTTTTTCTTCTAGGTCTTTACAATAGCATATAATGTAACACTACCACATAATACTTCATAGTAAGAGCCCATAATAATACAATATGTATTACAGCATGCAAAAATTAAAGATTAACTCAATTTCAGTAAAAATGTTAGTGCCATATTTCTTAATGCAATTAAGTCATATGAAGAATAATACATCTTGCAAATTTTGTTTTTTGTTTTTTTTTTGTCGGTTGTGGGGCTTGAACTCTGGGCTTGGGCACTGTCCCTCAGCTCTTCAGCTCAAGGCGAATGCTCTACTGCTTGAGCCACAGCGCCACTTCCGGTTTTCTAGTGGGTTTTTGGAGATAAGAGTCTCACGGACTTTCATGCCCAGGCTGGCTTTGAACCGCAATCCTCAGATCTCAGCCTCCTGAGTAGCTAGGATTATAGGCTTGGGCCACTGGTGCCCGGCTCATCTTGCAAATTTCTTGATGCAGTTTCCAATTTATTGAAAATGAGATTAAAGAATAATATATTATCTGAGAACAATCAATCCATAGTAAAATTACTTGACAAAATGCAGGAAGCCAATAACACTTGAATTTCAATTAGACCAAAAATCACTTTTCTTATCTCCTATAAACTACATGGGACATTTACATGGGATAATGAATAATTTTAAGTATAATAAATGTTTTGCTAAATTTAATAAAAAGAATTAATTCAGAACACTCTTACCTGTGTTTCTTGTGATGTTTTCTCTAGGAATATCAATTAACCAGAAAACCCGATCACTGAACTTGAATAAAGAGGATATCAGAAAACAATATTTTACAATGTTAATTTTAACATGAAATAAAGTTAAAGGCATACAAATACATATACTTCTTATTTGCAGTTTTCCTATTAGAAACTTTCCTTACCTTATACTCATAGACAAGTGAAATAACATGTATTCAAAGACATTTTTGCATCATTATAGTTTTTTGTTTGTTTGTTTGTTTTTGTTTTTGTCAGTCGTGGGGCTTGAACTCTGGGCCTGGGCTCTGTCCCTCAGCTCTTCAGCTCAAAGCGAGTACTCTACCACTTGAGCTACAGCGCCACTATTTTTGCATCATTATAATAACATAAGATTGGAAATGATGAAAACGTTAATTAGTTACACATAATAATACAACATCTAATAGAATATTATATTGTCACACTTAGGAAGCAGCACAAAGCTGAAGCATTTCTGGCTTGACGACTAAGAGAAAGAATGTAAGGTTGGCAGAGTATTTGAAATTTTAATAGGAAAATCCCACGTTCAAAAGAGCTGAGTGCCAGTGTCTCACACCTATAATCCTAGCTACTTAGAAGGCTGAGATCTGAGGATCCAGCCTGGGCAGGAAACTTTGTGAGACTCTTATCTCCAAGAAACTTCTCAAAAAGCTGGAAGTAGAGCTGTGGTTCAAGTAGTAGAGCGCACCTCTTAAGCAAAAGAAATTCAGGGACAGCACCCAAGTCCAGAGTTGAAGCCTCAGAACCAACAGAAACAAAACAAAACAAAACCACAAGTATGATGAATTCTAAGAATCAAATATAAATGGTGCCCAGATCTTTGTGCTACAGGATGCAGAGATCATTAAAATAACTGGCAGAGATATGTGCCACTGAAACTGTAGCTAAAATCATTTGTAGTTGTGTGAAGGTAACTTGCCTCTTAGAAGGATAAAAACAGTAATTTCTCAGGAGCAAAACAGATTTTAGAGTGGCTACAATATTATTATATTCAATGTCCAGTTTTCAACTGAAAAAGACAAAATATGAATAGAAATAGGAAAGTGTTTACTGATATTCAGGAAAAAATATAGACAATAAACTATCCCAAAATAAGTTCACACAGCAGGCAATAAATTTAATAAACTTACTTCAAGTATGTGCACAGATTTAGGAAAATATTATATTAATGAGAGAGTGGATCCCAACATAGAAATGAAAAACACAGAAAAAAACCCAAATGGACACAATAAAGCTGAAAAGTATAACTGAAGGTAGGTATCTGCAAAATAAGTTCAATAGCAAACGTGATAGAAAAAAACAATTGAAAGCACTCAATGCTAAGAAACAGAGTCATAATAAGCACTGTGGGTGCCACTACCTTCTATGTCCTTCAGAAAAGTGCTTTAAATGTTTTCACAGTAAAGAAATAATGAGTATGATAAGATAGAATGTTTGCTTTGATTTATATACTACACAAGGTATACATGTATCAAAGCATCCTAGAATACTTCCATTACTATACAAATTTTAAACATGTTAAGTATCCATTCAAAAATTTAAAGGGAAATGATAGAAGAAAAATGGACAGTGTAGAGATTTGTAGGCTAATATCATATATGTATTCCAAAAATGAATAACTGGGGTTCTAGCAAGAAAAGAGACAGAAAACTAGGCAGAAAACATTTTGACTACAGGCTTGCTTTCAAAATTTGGTAAATTTATAAATTCAAATAGCTCAGAATCTCAGTGAATGTCGAGTGGGTAAATGCAATGACAAAAATCTTAAATGTGTCCAGAGATATAGAATGATAAATAGCTAATTTCTCACTCAGAAACAATATTGTCAAGTGAGCTGTAAATGACACATTCAAGATGCTGAAAGAAAAGAAGGCAACAAAAAATTGCAGGTTGAACACAGCTAAACTTCAAAAGTTCAGGTAGCCCCTAAAAAGTCATTAGAACTCAAAATTGAGTTCAGCAAAGGTTGATATACAAGGCCAATATACAAAAGGAACAAAAGGTTGAGAATAAATTTAACAGGAAAAAATTTGTTTCCTGAAAACTACAAAACATTGTTGAATGAAGCTAAATAGTATCGAAGTAAATGGAAAGATATCCCATGTTCACAAAAATGAAGACTTTATATCATTTTAATGATATTATGTCATTTTATCTACAGATGGAACACAATATCAGAATCCCAGAAGGTTATTTGTAGAAATTGGCAAGCTTATCCTAAAATTCATAGCAAAATTTAAGGGACTCAGATTAGCCATAACAGTCTTGAAAAGAAGAACAAAGTCAGTTTTGAGGCAAGCCTTGGCTCTAGGCTAGTAGCAAGATCCTGACTCAACTCCCATCTCCAACCCCCAAATAAGGACAATGTTAGAGAACTCATGTGTTCTGACTTCAAATTTTAATGCAAAGCAACAGTATCAAGAAATGCTATGCAGACATAAGGATGTACATGGACATCAGTGCAATACAATGGAGAATCCAGAAATAAGTCTCCATGTTCATGGTCAAATGGTGTTCAACAAAGATGTCACAAATAAGTTGATAGGGAAAGAATAACAGGTTTTCAACAAATGGTATAAAGAAAGCTGGGTATCTAAATGCAAAAGAATAAAGAAAGATTCGTACCATACATTGCACACAAATGTGAACTCAAAATAGTCTGAAGACGCTGGCCCGAGTGGCTCACGCCTGTAATCCTAGCTACTCAGGAGGCTGAGATCTGAGGATCATGGTTCAAAGCCAGCCCGGTCAGGAAAGTCTGTGAGACTTATATCCAATAAACCACCAGAAAACCAGAAGTGGTGCTGTGGCTCAAGTGGTAGAGCTTTTTAGAGCTGAGGGATAGTGCCCAGGCCAGAGTTCAAGCCCCACAACCAAAAAAAGGTCTAAAGATCCAAGATAAAAGCTGAAACTATAGAACTCCTAGAAGAAAACATAAGGATACATTTTTATAACTTTGGATCAGGTTATGCTTTTCTACATTTGAATCAAAGGTACAGAAATAGAAATAAAAACAAAGTGGGCACTGGTGGTTTATACCTGCAATCCTAGCTACTCATGAACCTGAGATCTGAGGATTGTGATTCAAAGGCAGCCTGGGCAGGAAAATCCATGAGACTCATTTTTTTTTCTTTTATCATGGGGCAGGAAAATCCATGAGACTCATTTTTTTTTATCATGGGGCTTGAATTCTGGGCCTGGGCACTGTCTCTGAGCCATTTGCTCAAGGTTAGCACTCTTTTTTTTTAAGATATATATATATATTTTTTTTTTTTATTTGTACAGAGGGGTTACAATTACATGGGCAAGATAGTGAGTACATTTCTTATCAAGCATTGTAGCCTCCTCCTTTGTTTCACCTAAGGTTAACACTCTTAAGCCACAGCTCTACTCCCAGTTTTCTGGTGGTTAATTGGAGATAAGAGTCTCACTGACTTTCCTGCCTAGGCTGGCTTTGTACCACAACCCTCAGATCTCAGCCTCTGGAATAGGATTATAGGTATGAGTCACTGGTCCTGGGCCATGAATTTCTTTTTTTTTTTTTTTTTTTTTGGGTCCGGTCGTGGGGCCTGAACTCTGGGCCTGGGCACTGTCCCTCAGCTCTTCAGCTCAAGGCTAGTGCTCTACCACTTGAGCCACAGCACCACTTCCGGCTTTTTTCTTATGTGGTGCTGAGGAATCGAACCCAGGGCCTTGAGCATGCAAGGCAAGCACTCTACCACTGAGCCACCTTCCCAGCCCCTCTTTTTTTTTTTTTTTTAACTGTATTTTTTTTTTGTCTTTTCTTTTTTGGTACTGGGGATCGAACCCAGGACGTTGCACTTGCTAGGCAAGCGCTTTGCCACTGAGCTACATCCCAGCCCTGGGCCATGAATTTCTTATCTCTAATTAACCACCAGAAAACTGAAAATGGAGCTGTAGCTCAAAGTGGTTGAGTGCTAACCTTGAGCAGAAAAGCTCAGGGGCAGTGCCCGGGCCCTGAGTTCAATTCCTACAACCAACTAAAAAAAAATAGGACAAAAATTTTAAAAAGAAAAAGACCAGTAGACTTCCTAAAGCAAAGCAAAGCAAAACAAAACAAAATGGAAAAATCCCAAGCGGTCATGGTCTCAGAGAACACTACTGAGAAAGTATAAAAATTATCTACAGAATGAAAGAAAATACTTGCAAAACATATTTTTATAACACTTATGACTCAAGGATAAGAAGAAACAAAGTAAGTGTGGGTAAGGAATAGTTATTTCCCCAAAGAAGATATTTAAGTGTCCAAAAACACATCAAATAATACTCAACCTCATTAATTATTAGGGAAATGAAAATCAAAACCATACTGATACAGCACTTCAAACCTACTGGGATGGATATAATAAAAAGACAAATCATAACAAATGTTTGGATGAGGATGTAAAGAAACTGGGACTCTATGAAGCAGAGGCAGAAATATAAAATGACAAATACTCAGGGAGTTCTTCAAAAAGACATTCCAGATTTCATTCTTGGCTGTGTATTCAAGAGAGATGAAAACATTCCTAAATATGAACTTTTTCAAAAATATTTATTGCAGCCTTAGATATAACAACAGATACGTATTAGCTGATATTGTGATATCTATAAAATGGGATATTATTCAACTGTAAAAAAGAATGAACTATTGATATTTGCCACAACATGGATAGATCTTGAACAAAGAAAGAGGGAGTGGAAAACAAACTTTACAACTTTGGTGTGGGGGGGGTGGGGGGTGGGGAGGTGGGGGGGGGAGGGAGAGGGGGCAGGGAGGATTGGGGGGGCGGGGAGGGAGGATGGGAAGGGATGGGAAGGGGAAACAAAGGAGGAGGCTACAATGCTTGATAAGAAATGTACTCATTATCTTGCCCATGTAATTGTAACCCCTCTGTACAGTATTTTTACAATACAAAAAAGAAAGAGGGAGTGATGACCACTACACGCTATGTTATAGTTACATAAAATTTTCACAATAAGTAAATATATAGAGACAAAAAACTAGGGTGAGGGTTTATGACTTTGGGTTTTCTTTTTGGGGTGATGGAAAATGTTTCAGAAATATTTGTGCAATGATTGCACAATTCTATGAATAATTAAAATCAGTGAATTGTGTATTTTAAATAGGTAAGTTGAATGGTATATGAATTATATCTTTATTAAGATATAAAGTTTAAAAACTGAAAGTGAAATAAGGATTATATTGGGAGGGGGGCTCTCAGAGAATACATTGTCAGCAGATCTGCACTGTAAAAATGCTAACAAAAGGGCTGAGTGTGGAAGCTCATGACTGTAATTCCAGCAACTTGGGAGGTAGAGATTGGAAGGATTGTGGTTCAAGGCCAGTCTAAGTAAAGGTTAGCAAGACCTTATCTCAAGTTACAGGCAAGTACCTGTAACTCCAGCTCCACTTGAGGCATAGGTAAGAGGACTGTAGTCTGAAGCTAGCTCTGGACAAAAGTGAGAGATCATATCCTAAAAACAATGAAAGCAAAAATGGGTTGGGATGTGCAGTTCAGGTGGTAGAACACCTGCCTAGAAAGGGTGAGGCTTTTGGTTCAAACTTTAGTACTGTCAGAGAGAAGAGGAAAGGAGAGGAGGAGGAGGAAGAAGAGAAGGGAGGGATAAAGAGAGGAAGAGAAGAAGAGGGAGGAAGAGGAGGGAGAGAAGGAAGAGGAGGAAAAAGAGGGTAAAGGGGAATGAGGAAATGGAGGGAGGAAGAGTGAACAAATGCAGTCATGGTATTAAGAATACACTGTGGAAATGAACTTGTGGTCAGGAACGGAAGGAGGAAGCTGGGGGAAAGCAAACCAAGGGGTGATATTGTCCAAAAAGAAATGTACTCATTATCCAAATTGTGAAATGATAACCCCTCTGTGCAACACCTTAATGATAATAAAATTACATATTTCTAATTTACTTTACTGTTGCTTTAGAGATTATATACAGCAGGGTTACACATGTCAGGCTATAGGTACATCTCCTTTCACATAGTATCATCTGTTCCCTCATTCTTTCCCTTCCCTCCCTCCCATCTCCACACATGAGTTACACAGTTTACTTTCATCAATGTCCAGTGCAGTGAATGTGCTCCACTGTTGTACTTTTCACCCTTTTAAAATTACATTTTAAGAAAAGAAGAGGAGGAGGAAGAGTAGGAAGAAAGAAAATACTAAAGTTTCCTCGAACTGAAAGAAAATGATACTGGATGACAACATATCTACAGAAAAGGCTGAGGAGTACTAGAAATAGTAAATATGCAGGGAAATAGTTTAAAATTCATTTTTAAACTTCTTTGAAATAATCATACTATATTATTAGATTTAAAGCATGCTACTGGTGTAAAATTACCAAACAATCTTTTAGAAACACATCCTGCCAGGTGCAGGTAGGTCACACTTGTAATCCTAGTGACTCAGGAGGCTAAAAACTGATGATCTCAGGTAGGAAAGTCTCCAATTAAACCACACAAAAGGCTAGAAGTGGTGCTGTGGCTCAAAGTGGTAGAGTGTTAGCCTTGAGTGAAAGGAGCTGCAGGTCAGCATCTAGGTCCAAAGTCCAAGCCTCAGGACTGGCAAAAGAAACACAAACAAATGAACAAACCAAAACACCCTACATCCTATAAGAAAGAGTGTATGCTTCTTATTAGTAACATATCACAGAATAAAATAAAGCATAATTACCAAAGTTAAATTGAAGTGGAAGATGCCATGGTAAGTACTATTTAGGATTTCCAGGCTGGGAGCGAGACCTCCAGATGTGAACACACTCAGCAATCCCTTTGAAGTGAGTTCATCTTCAGTTTGGAAAAAACAGTGGATTTCCTTTGAGAAAGAGAGAAATAAAACAAAGAAGTAATAGCAATTTGAGGGAGAAATCTGTGAAGAGGAAATGCTGTTAAAGACCATTTTCTTTCCATTGCTAGCTTGGGAATAAACATTTATTTGAGAAAGAATTTAGTGACCTGCCATCTAACTGTCAAGACTTCCATTCATCCTTAGAATCCTTAGAAAGTTTATATATTTATTTTTTACTTTTTACTTTTTTTTGGGTGCTGTTTCCAGTGTCTGGGAGCTAACTTTTAGCTTTTTTGTTCAAGGCTGGTGCTCTACCACTTGAGTCACAGCTGCACTTCCATCTTTTTGGTGGCTAATTGGAGATCGGAGTCTCATAGGCTTTCCTGCTCTGGCTGGCTTTGATCTACAACCTTCATATTTCAGTCTCCTGAATAGCTAGTCTTATGGATATGAGCTACCAGTACCTAGTTGGAAAGTTTGTGTGTTTAATAAGCACAAAACCTAAACCACATGCTCACATGCTCAAATTATAATTTTTTTGGGGGGTGGGGAGTGTTGCTATAAATTGAAGCCAGGATCTGGTACATGCTACTTTTGCTACTTAGTTGTATCACTAATACTGTGGGATTTTTTTTTTTTTTTAATTTGGTGGTCATGGGGCTTGAACTCTGGGCCTAAACACTGTCCCTCAGCTCTTCAGCTCAAAGCTAGCACTTTACCACTTGAGCCACTGCTCCACTTCCAGTTTATTGGAGATAAGAGTCTCAAGGACTTTCCTGCCCCAGCTGGCTTTGAACCTGGATCCTCAGATCACAGCCTTCTGAGTAGCTAGGATTACAAGCGTGAGCCACCAGCGCCCGGCTCTTTGTGGGAATTTTAATACTATGCTTTTTTGTTGTTGTTATTGTTTCCTATTATTTGAATCAAAAGATCATGTGATCCCTTAATCAAAATGACAACTACAACATGGTACTTGTTATAGAAAGAAGAGATTATTTTTCAAGGTCAGTCATGTGAGGTAATCTATTTTTTTTCCTCTAACAGGCTACATCTGTCAAGCTTCAAAAGGTCCAATTAGCACTATGGAAAAAATAAACCCAAGATGCTATAGCTACCAAGGAGGTATCATTTAAAAACAACAACAAAGAAAACCCACCCAGGGTATTCAATAGCTAAATGAATGACTGGGCTGATTCATGTGGACAAAAATAGAAACAACTGCATAGATTTCCACCTTTCCAAGTCTGAAAGCAAGTGAGTACAGTACCATTGGGTGTACATGTGGATTTAAAGGGAATGCAAAGGGACATGGCTGTGAGGGGGACTTACCAAGTTATTCAAGGAAAGAAACAACTTGATTATTTCATTGTCTTTGGGGAAGCCTTCACTGGAACAAGCAAAGCTTCTCTTCATATCACCTAAGCAACAACAACAAAAAATTGGTTTTTTTTTTTTGGGTCTGGTCGTGGGGCCTGAACTCTGGGCCTGGGCGCTGTCCCTCAGCTCTTCAGCTCAAGGGTAGCGCTCTACCACTTGAGCCACAGCGCCACTTCCAGCTTTTTTCTTTTTGCTTATGTGGTGCTGAGGAATCAAACCCAGGGCCTCAGGCATGCAAGGCAAGCGCTCTACCACTGAGCCATCTTCCCAGCCCCTGAGAAAATATTTTTTACAGAACAAAAATCATAACTGTAAAATATAAATATATTTTAGTCTAGAAAAAAATAACAAATCTATTCTTGAAAGTATGCTAAAAAGGAAGTGTTGGATATATGCAACGTAAAGGGGGGAAGGGGTTAGAGAGAGAATTTTGTGTTCTAACAGAGAGCTACTGATGAAGATATTGGAAAGAGTTCCTTCTCCTTGTGTTGAGAACGAGGAAAGAGGCTTTAATGAACTATAACACAAATCCCTGCAATTTGGAACACAAATTCAGATTCCTGTCTAGAAACAGGAGCAGAGATGATTTGGCTGAGAGGACAGGAGATAGCTGATGAGATGGTCACTTAGTGAAGGCTAAGATGCAGAATGTGTCCTACAGGCCACTAGGAAGAAAGAATTAATATAAGGTCACCTAAGGCCCTGTTCTCAAAGGTCTCTCTGAATGGCAACTGGATCTCAGAAGAATTTCAAAGCAGAAACACATTTTTTAAAATGGAACTGACAAAAGAATAAGTGACCAATAGGAACAGAGAAGCTTTGCCTTTGTTAAATGTGTAGTTAATGCATTCTTAATATAAAGAAGGGGAGGCAGCTATGAAAGACACATTTGAGTGCACAGAGATGGAGAGTAGGCTTCATATATCCCCTAGGTTTACAAAGTGCAGCTTGTCAGGTAGGAAATGAAAATCAGAACACAGCACTTCAGGCTTAACTTTCCTTCCCTGCCCAACCCTACAGTAGACAGGGTCAAAGTGGAATTAGCAAGGTAGTAAAAAGGCAAGGAAAACTCCAAATGGAAGAAAGGAAAAGCTGATTGGCTTCCCACCAGGACAGAGCCAAAGAGGAAGAAGAAAATAAGCAAGAATTGGGTTTAGATGTTGTGGGTTCAACTATTTCAATGACAATGATTTCAATGCAAAGCTGTGCTTTGAAATTATAAATTATAAATGCTTGCGGTATAGTTTGAGTTATAATAATAACAACATCATCATCAACAAAGTCCTAAGGCAAGTCCAAATATTCAACCAGGGACAGAGGAAGAAGTAGGTAAAAAATTAAATATAAACTAAGATAAAAAATAAATTTATTTTATAATTGTATACTGTTCATCTATCTTATTGGTCCAACTGAATAGTTTCAATGTTGTTCTCAAAATTGTATTTGTAACTATATCGGTGTAAGCATTGTAAGTATAGCTTAGAATGTATCTGGGAAGTACAGCATTAAATAGTTTTCAAATCACTTCCATCTCATACACTCATTCACTCATTGTATCCATCCTTGTCAGGCCTACCAGCCATATTTTAAGGTTTAATTTGACTCTAAAGTAAAAATTACTCTCCTACTTAAAAATCTTCCCTGCTACCCTATATTACCTAATAAAAAACATTTCTTGTATGGAAAGAAGGTAAGAAAAAGGAAACTAATTTCTTTGAATAACATACTTTGAGCCAGCTGCTGGGCTTACATGTTGTGTTAGGACATTCCCACAATGCTTTGTGCCCTTTGTACTGCTGCCTATTCTTAAAGAAAAGGAAGCTGAGACTCAGGAAGATGGAGCTCAGTAAGCTCAACAGCAAGTCATATTTCTGTATGCATGAACCACTCTTTTAATCTGCTGGACAATCTTTCGACTCTCCCGTGGAAAACCTATACTCCAGGCCATTAAAAATGCTTATGGGGTTCTCTCTACTTCTCTTCTTCTCGCATTTAAATTCATTTAAAGATTTGCTTGAGCTGGATGCCGCTGGCTCATGTCTGTAATTCTAGCTACTTAGGAAACTGCAATCTCAGGATTGTGATTTGAAGCCGGCCCAGGCAGACAAATCCTAGACACTCTTATCTCTAATTAACCAACAAAAAGTGAGAATTGAAGGTATGGCTCAACTGGTAGAGCTGGAGCCTTGAGCACAAGAGTGTGAGGCTCTGAATTTAAGCCCCTCAGTACTCAATAGCAAATACATGCATGCATATCTGCTTGAAATAGAAGCCTTTTCTTAGATTTATCTCAGTGAAATAAGTTGACTGGTCCTCCACACTTTGGTATAATTCTGTGAATTATATGATCACATCAACAGACTCTTAAGCTTGGATATTAATGATGAGACAGGGAAAACTATAACACACTGTGGTGAGAGACAGAAGCAATTCCAAGCTTTTGTGCCCATACCTGCGTGGATCATCCCCTTGCCTAGAAAGTCTCAGATTATGGAAATTTCTGTCATAATAATGAATGAAAAACTAACAAATTTTCAATAACCTCTAAATGAAAGATGTATCAGAGAAGTTATTTCTTCAACAGATGTGAGCTCTTTAACATGAGTGGTGAAATAAAGTGCCTTCCCTGAGGGATTGTCTACATTGAATAAAATAAGAAAACCACTCTGGGTCATATTTTTGGAAACCATACTACTTATGAAATTCATCGCCCTGTTTACAGTTACACAATTAGAACAATGAAGTTGAAGCAAGATGCAGCAAAATACCTCCCATCTTTTTTTCCACCAATCTGTTTGACATAATGCTGTTGTGGGAAACCAGAGTCTCCCCGCTTCCCCTCCTCCACAGAAAGCCACATGGTCATAGTGATCATTTCAAGCTGAAGGCAGTTGAGAAATGGCAGGTACAGGAAGGGCAGATCTCACTTTCTACCTAAAAGCAAAGTCTAAATTTCCTATGAGAAATGTACTGTCTGTACCTTTCCTTTCTCTAGAGATGAAGAGTTGACACAGATGGGTCTGTACACCAGGACTTATTAAAATAATATTCTTTATTGTTTTTTCTTATATATTTGCAAATAACTTTCCTGCTCTTACAACTATAGACCAAAACACCTTTTCCTTTTTCCCAGCTCCATAAGTTACTGCTTTGTTGAAATGGTGTCTTACCACTTGTTTGGAATTTTTACTCTTTCTTTAACTTTCACATTTGGCCATGTGAAAGTATTAACAGCAAATAAAATGTGAATACTTTTACCCTGTCAATATGTCTTTTGTCAGTTCAGTTCATAGACCCCAGCCACAGACTCTTACAGAAAAAAAGAAAAGGTTTTCCTCCTTTATGCTTCTGTAGTCATTTTAGCTGTAGCCATATCACTCTTCTTACTAGTAATCTTAAATGGCTTCCAATGATTATAAAGCCCAGATTCCTTAGCCTGACACTCAAGTTCCTCTATGATAGCATTGCCTTCATGATATTTTACATCTATTCCTTCCTTCAAATTAAGTGACTCTTTCCTTCTTGCTTCACAAATTGTATGATGTACTATCTCCATACCATTGTTCATCCTGTGTATTGATGTAGTCTTTGTAGAATATTTCTTCATGCAAATATTACCCATATGGGGACCTAGATGGATTGTTCTCTTTGAAGCCTTTGCTAGTGAGTTGCCCCTTTTCTACTGTTGGAATTAACCACTCCCTTCTCTGAAATCTCTTCAGTCTGTCTGTGCCTCTCCCATCTTGGATTATTATCATGTATTTGTCATGCATAACCTCAGAACTTATCCATTTATGTAACTCCAGTTAACTAGAAGAAGATCTGATTCCAACCATCCAGCCATCCATCTGTCCAGTCAACAATATGATGTTCTAGGATGCTGCATAATCTAAAAAGTATACACAGATGGGAATGCCTCTGTCTTGTTCCTTAAAAAGTTTTTCCATCATGAAAGTCCCATTGACTAATGCAATCTGTATATTAATTTCGGAAAATTTCCCTCAACCTCAGTTGACTAGCCTGGTAACTCAGTTTTTAATTCATACTATGTGCAACCACTCATAGAAAAATTTAAAATTGTTTTTTCAAATAATTAAGATGTGGCAAATATAAATCCTTTATAATATTAAATAGTCCACAACTTGTAACTGATGAAACATTATAGCGAATGGTTCACAGTGATGTCATCAGAAATCTCTATAGCAGAGTAAAAGATGTAATACCTTGGAGAAAATAAAAAATAAAATAAAGAAGAAATACTAAAAAAAAACATTTTTAACTATAACTGAGAAAGTGATAGGTATGAGAAGTCCTGAGGAGATAATCATATAGTCTTACCTTTATTATATATTATTCCTGATGAATATTCAAACATATTCAAAAGCAAAATTAAGACATATGTAAATTGGGAGTCCATCTGTTGGAATAAATAAGAATTATTTTCATTCAATTACTCTGTAAATACTTTTTGAGTTATTTTTGATAGAATCAACTATAATGTAGTAAAGAAATCATCTCTTCAAGCTAAAAGTATTTCCTGTTATATGACAAAAGCAGGACTGGAGACATAGTTTGGTGACAAGCCTAGAATGTGAGAAGGCCTAGTCAGATCCCCAGCATGAGAAGAGAAAAAGAAGACATAAAACAATAAAATGGATTCCCTAACTGGCATAAAAAACATTTATTAATATCATTATTGCAAACCAGAAGATGGGAATGGCTTAACATGGCAGATCATTGTGGCAGAGGTCATTCAGAACCTGAATTGATGAAGGTACTCTGTTCATCCAGTATTCTGACTCTGTTGCTTTTGGAGACACAAACCACATAGTCATGAGCACTTTTGCACATTCTTGCTAAGCGCACTAGGAATGTAAGGCCCTGCCTTCATGATCCAGGCCTTTCTCAGGGTTATGTTGTCAACCAAGAGGCTTGAGAGATGGGATAAGGTCCTGCCAGGTAAGAACAGTGTAGTTTCCAAGGTGAATATCCTAGTATCAGTGTTCCTCTCCTAGAATACACTTCATAAAATGTACATGTATTTATCTAGTGAGGGCTGAATTGTTTACCTGGAATTGATATGTTAAAGTCCTAGACCCCAGAATCTCACAACATGATCATACGTGGAGACAAGGTCTTTAAAGAAGTGGTTAAGTTAAAAATGAGGTCACTGGTTCTCATCCAGTGATTAGTGTACTTACAGGAAGAGGGCATTTGGACCTAGACTCACACAGAGGAAAGATGAAGACACAAGATGGCCATCTACAAACCAAGGAGGGAGACATAGAATCTATCCTGCCTTCAAGGCTGTTAGAAGAAAACAACTCTGCCAACACTTGATCTGCCAACACTTCTAGCCTCTAGAACTGTAAAAAATTCATTTCTGTTGTTGAGGCCACTTTGGGTACTGTACTTGGCTATAGGAGGCCTAGCAACTGAATTCAGCATCCATGGTTGATTTCTTCTATGGGACTTGACAGCTGGAAGAACTGAAATGAGATTCATGTGCTGGATAGTTTTATATGTCAGTAATGAGTCCTTTTGTCTCGGTTCTACAAGTCTAGTATAACCAGGATGATAGCCTCTGGGGTCCAGCAACACAGAATTTCTTACCAGAAACATCTTGTATTAGTTTCCTAAACATTCAAATGAAAGGATATAACATCATTATTAGACTGTCTGTTTTCCTCATCCCTCTAAATGAGATGCAATTATACTCCAGGTCTCTAGTTTGGCTGGTTTATATTAAGTTGCTCCAATTCTATTTGCTCAAATAAATGTAAGATCACTTATTCCATTTATTGCATTTGGATGTATCTAGTTTTGGCCATAGAACTAAAACTTACTTTGCCTTTAAACTTTCACAAAGGGATGAAAAACCACGAGAGCAAGTTCAAAGGGAGAGAGCAGAAGTGATTTCCAGGCTCTCTATCACTTTGCTACTAGCTGCATATCCCAGTGATTTAGCTTATAGTTATCTACTCATTCTTCTAATTAAAACCTGGAATGCACTTTAGAATTGATACATGAGTAATTAATTGAATATATTCAATGTTCTTACTACTTAATGTCAGAGATTAACTTAGAACCAAGGTCTCCAGACTCAATGGATCTAGTCAGATCTACCAAATAAAAGTTGAAAAATTAAGCTAGGTGCAAGTGGCTCCTCCTAGCTACTTAGGAGGTTGAGGTCTGAAAAATCTAGGTTAGAGTCTACTCTGAGCAGACTAGAATCCATCTCCAAAATAACCAGCAAAAAGGTAGGGTGGGGTTGTGACTCAAGGACTGCACCAGCTGTGAGCAAGACAGCATAATTTCAAAGCCTGGACCACTAACGGAAATTAAAAACTAAAATATATTAAGTGTATGATTACATTTGACCTAACACCAAAATTAATAGATTTATTTATCCATCATTATTCTGCTCATAATATACTAGTCTTACTCTTCGCATTTTTGTTTCAATATTAGAACGTTTTCTGATTTGGTAGCACTTTCAACAGTTACCTCATGGTTACAAAAAAGCACAGACTTTGATGTAAGATAAACCCTGTCAACTGACATGATTAACCTTTAGTAACTTGCTTCTTTATAGTCAGAAAAAATGGGCACAACTGCTACACAGTGTGTGAGAATTAAACACACTGTGTTTATGTTTAAGTATCTGATAGAACTACCTCTGGGTCTATGTCTTTATCCACTGAAGCAACTTCTTTGTCAGTTAAGCTGGTAGCAGTTACATTAATGTAGTCACCATTCCCCATTTAGGTATCATGGGTTTTCTATGATTGATACATGCCACATATTTGGGCACTTTCTCTTTTTGGTACCAAATAGAAATCGGACATTTCCCCAAAGGAGCACCCTCTCTTCTCCCCTATGTGATATACTTACAGTTATTGCATTATCAAGGAATAGTGGTTACTTTATACATTCATACTGTAATAGGGCCTTTTTGTTAATGTTATTGTAATTACCTCTAATTGAGTGTCCAACTGGTTGCTGTTTGCTTTCTATATTTTTCTCCCATTTACTTCCTTATAGACTGAGAAAGAAGCTCCCCAAGAGCTGTGTTTTCCCAGATGACTGGTGCAGCAGACCACATAACTTTGCTAACAGCCAATCAGCTGCTACTTAGTACAGAAACAGCTTAGAAAATCCAAAGGACAGCAGTTGGAATCCCCAACTAACTGCCTTCCCTGGACCTCTGATGTCATGAAACCTATGAGAAGTGGAGTTTCTCCAAGCCACCATTTTTAATATAATATATATCTAGAGAGGTTCAGAAAGCTACACAGGATTATCTACAAAATATTCTAGTTATCAGCTGGTGAGTGAGTATAATTCCCAAAAGGTTATGCCAACTACATATGAGACAAGTAGGCACCTGATAGAGCTTTATTACAGTCTTAAAGGAAGAATATGACTCAAATAAAAAAAAAGAAAGATGACCTTATTGATAGGTAAGTAAATACACAGTCACAAAGACAGAACATACTGTGCATGCGTGGAGAGCAGTAAGACCCATGACATGCCGTTTAGTCAGTCCTTGTTCATGCTGTGTGGGAGTCCTCAATGTGGGAGCTGTATTACCTGCTTCGGCTGGATTTAACAGAGTAGGAGTGTGCCAACTCTGGACTGCTCCGACTCCTTCAGTAACATGAGTGTTTACGGATGGCCACAGAAGCTGACAACTGACTTGCTATAATGATGATAAAGCTTGTCTTATACTTCACAAGTCCCTTCAGATGGCCACAGACAGCCTGCTTCAGGCTTAGGTCACGAAAAGCAAATGGTGTCTCAATCTGTTCCTGGAAGCTCCTGTGTGAGAAATTCTTCCTCTCACCTTTTCCGATGTCGATGGGAAGAGGAGAGTGACTGAGCAGCTGGGAACAATACAGACGGGAATTACACATAAGCCAATAACCAGATATCAACAGTGGTAACACAGCAACATACTTCTTATAAGCATTGTATATTAAGTGTAGGCTCTTTATACAGCTTTGCACCATTCTTAAATTTGTTGTTATCCTGACCATTTTCTCACATCACTCAAGTCTTTTTTCAAAGTCTAAAATAAGTGTATACAATTTACTTAAGCCTTAAAGACATTTTGCTGATGAATAATGTGACAGTGAATAATCCTAAACAAAAATATTTTACTGCATTTTAAAACATTTGTTTAGGATATGAACATGTTGAAGACTAATGGTAAATAAACATTTACAATTACAATCCAGCATTTAAAATTGGATATAATCTATAGTAACTTAATACATAAAAATATTTTATTGCCTCACCTTAAAAATATTGACAAGCCTGGTGGCTCATGCCTTAATCCTAGCTACTCAGGAGGCTGAGATCTGAGGATCGAGGCTCAAAGCCAGCCCAGGCAGGAAAGTCCATGATCTCCAATAAGCCACTAGAAGACCTGAACTCGCCCTGGGCGCTGTGGCTCAAGTGGTAGAGCACTCGCCTTGAGCTGAAGAGCTGGGGACAGTGCCCAGGCCAAGAATTCAAGCCCCATGACTGAAAAAAAATTTATATATTGACAGAACTAAACATTTTTTTTTTGTTTTTGGAACTAAACATTAAAAAATGTCAGCCATCTTTCTTCTATAAATTATGTAGAGATGATCCTGATCTTTTTTTTGGGGGGGGGGGGGGGGGTCTGGTCATAGGGCCTGAACTCTGGGCCTAGGCACTGTCCCTCAGCTCTTCAGCTCAAGGCTAATGCTCTACCACTTGAGCCACAGCACCACTCCTGGCTTTTTTCTTTTTGCTTATGTGGTGCTGAGGAATCGAACCCAGGGCCTCAGAGGCATGCAAGGCAAGCACTCTACCACTGAGCCATCTTCCCAGACCCTGATCTTTTTTTTTTTTTTTTTTTTTTTAACCAGAAGTTTGGTGTTTTGCTTAGGAAATAAGAGTAATCCCTTGCAATATTCACTGCAAATGTTTAATCCAATTTTTCATTTACCTTGACTCTATGATAGTTTCTGGGCAACAGAAATTCTAATCTGATGCAATCAAACTTAACAGTATTTTCCTCTTGGATTACTTCTGTTGCTTTATGGTTTCAAAGTTCATCTTTATCCAGAGATACATTTTTCTCATTTTTTTAAATGTAAGAAAATATAGAGACTCAAAAAGAGTTTAAGGAGGGCTGGGAAGGTGGCTCAGTGGTAGAGTGCTTGCCTTGCATGCCTGAGGCCCTGGGTTCGATTCCTCAGCACCACATAAGCAAAAAGAAAAAAGCTGGAAGTGGTGCTGTGGCTCAAGTGGTAGAGCACTAGCCTTGAGCTGAAGAGCTTAGGGACAGCGCCCAGGCCCAGAGTTCAGGCCCCACGACTGGACCCCCCCAAAAAAAAAAGAGTTTAAGGAATAAAACGATAAGGGTCTTTCAATTATTCTGAATCCCACTTGAAAAAGGCTTTTTGTTATGGGATGTTTCAAACACTGGAAACAGTCAAGAGAACTCTGAAATTGCTCCTTTGTACCCATGGCCCAGCTTTCCTCTAACTTCTTCTAAACCTCACCACCGACCCTTGTCTAGGCTTAATTTGAGGATACTTTGGACATCGACATATATTTCAGTTTGCATTTCTTAGAGAAAATGAGTTTATGAAAAAATGAAAACCACACTAGCATATTCATGCCTACAAATAGGAATGATCCCTGGGTATCTGCTTAATGATTCCTTTTATCTTCCCAGTTATCTCATTCTTAGTATTTTTTTATAGTTGTGTGAACCAGGATCCAATAAAATCTCTACTTGGTCATTGGTTGAAGCATATTCATGAGTCACTAACAATGGAGATGTATTATAAAAATGTGTGCTTAGGTGATTTCATTCTTGTGCAAATATCCAGCGTATGTACATAAACCTAAATGGTCTTTGTCACATTGCTTGTGTGTTTGTGTTTGTGCGTGTTTGTGTGTGTGTGTGTGTGTGTGTGTGTGTGTGTGTGTGTTTGTATACTGGTTCTGGGGCTTGAATTCAAGGCTGGGCAATGTTGCTGAAACTTTTTTTGCTCAAGGTTAGTGCTCTACCACTTGAGTCACAGCTCTACTTCTAGCTTTTTAGAAGTAAATTGGAAATAAGAATCTCATGGACTTTCCTGCCTAGGCTGGCTTCCACCTGTGATCCTTAGGGTTCAGCCTCTTGAGTAGCTAGCATTACACAGATGTGGGCCAGTGCCTGGACATATTGCCTTCTATATAATCAAGATATGTGCTAGACATCAGTTGCATAAGGCTGTTCCTAGCACAACACAGTATTTGGTTTACAATAAACATTTCTTTTTTCTCTTTCTTTTTTGACACAGTGTCTTGTAAAATAGCCCAGGCTTCCCTGCATTATGACTCTTTTGCTACCATCCCTGAGTGCTGGAATTATAAGTGTGTACCACCATGTTTGGTAAATGTTCTGAGTACACAACAGATAAAAATATTCCAACTAAAAAAAGTATATACACAATAAAACCTCATAAAAATGGAGACAAAACTATGATACAATACTCCAACTTGAATTAAGTATGTTAAGAATTTGCACTAGAGGAGAGTGAGGGAAGGGTTGGCAGTGTCCAAAAAGAAATGCACTCTTTACCTGACTTAAGTAAGAGTAATCCCTCTGTACATCACCTTTATAAGCTCAAAATAACACACAATAGACACAGAAAAAAAAGGATTAGATATGGAAGAAATAGATCAAAAAGATAAAATAATCTCAGAGAGCAAACTTAAAATTCAATGTGCCCAGAGGAAAATAGTTTTGATCCCAAATATGGTAGGGGCATGATAGGAATGAAACCATCAATAGAGGAAAATAAAATAAAAAGGTATTGTATCAGACAAAAAGCAATAAATTTAGACAATAGATAAAAAATCCAACATTTTCCCAGATCCCCAAAAAAGACACAAGTATAGAGACTGAAAGATTCACAGAATGACAACAAAAAGTATAGAAAAATATTCAATCGAGACCCTAGTAGGCCTCTCTTTCTGAAACAGGAATTCTGAATAGAGCAAGCAAGACGGGAGGCAGTGATGACAGTCTGTTCCTGAGGAAGGTTCCAGAAAAGACTGATACATACTCTCCCTTCAGCAGAATTTCTGAATGTTCACCTTAAGCCAAGTTCATTAGTCATCTCAAGACTCCCAGTATCCTTCAAACAAATTTCCTATTAAAAAAAAATATATAGGTTGGGTGCTGGTGGCTCACATCTTTAATCCTAGCTACTAAGGAGGCTGAGATCTGAAGATTGCAGTTCAAAGCCAGACCAGGCAGGAAAGTCTATGAGACTCTTTATCTCCAATAAATCACCAGAAAACTAGAAGTGGCACTGTGGCTCAAGTGATAAGGCACTTGCCTTTGAGCTGAAGAGCTGAGGGACAGCACCCAGAACCAAAGTTCAAGACCCAAGACTGGCAAATACACACACACACACACATGTGTGTGTGTGTATATATATATATATATATATAATCTACATATTTATATGTAGATATATATATATAAACGCCTAATTCTACCATAGTATTAGATACAATCAAGACTCCAAAGTTTATATCCCATGCATCATTCTTAGGAAATTACTTGAAGGCATACTTCAGCAAAACAAAACTCCTCCATAGAGAATTGGAGGAAGCCCAGGAAAATAATGAAAGGTTATTTCTGGGATGAGCAGAGGGCAGCAAAAGTGAGAGTAACTAGTTCAGGTTAGAACAAAATGTTAGAATCAAGTGCTGGGGAAAAAATAGAAGGAAAAAAAGCCTTATGGTACCCTATGGTATAAACCCTGTTTTCACTGTATTTGATTCTGGTGCCCTGCATGTTGAATATACATTTTTCTAATTTGGGGAGGGGAAGGGAAAAAACAAAATGCCTAAATAGGGATAGAGGTTGACCCATTGTAACAATGAGATATGCAAGACACTATGTTGAAATCGAACTTTACAACTTCAGGTGGGGGGAGGACTGGGGGAGAGAGGAGTTGTGGAGCTGGGGAGGGAAAGGAGAGTAGGGAATAAACAAAGGAGGGGATAACAATGCTCAATAGGAAGTTGTAAGGTCTGCTCCTGGATGGTGAGCAGACTCCACCCTCCTCGCAGCAAAGTCTCCACCTGTGTTACCTAGGCAACTGGAACACCTGGAAGAGGTCACATCTGCATCCGCTGAGGTCACATCTGAATTTGATGTGGCCACACCTTTCCCCGCCCATACCCTACATAAGGCCTAGCCCAGGCCCAGACTCTCTCTTTTTCTCGCTCTGTTCTTTTCTAGCTCTTGCTCTTGCTCTTCTTTTCTAGCTCTCTCTGCTCTAGCTCTTCCCTCTCTCTTTCCCAGCCACGTGGAGTGCCAACCTTGCCTGGTCCCAGCAGGTCTACTGAATAAACCTACCCCTTACCTGAATACCACGTGAGTGCTAGTGCAGTTTTTACTCACCTACCTCTTTTTAAAAACCTAACAGAAGTGTACTCATTACCTTTCTCATGTTACTGTAACCCCTCAGTACAGTATCTTTACAATAATATATATATATATTTATTTATTTATTTAAAAAGCCTTATGGTAA